AGACTCAGCCAGTGCCGAGTACTGCTTCTGGTGAGGATAGCTGGCTTTTTCTGATGGCTTACTATGTGCAGGCACCACACCAAAGACTTTCTTACCTCATATAACCATCCCACACCCCTGTTAGCCCGATTCCACAGAGACAGCTGGACAGGGTCACTTTGCCAAGGTCACACAGATAGTGGCACAGAGCTGGGACTCAGAACTAGCTGGTCCCTTTGAGTTCAGGCCTTATATTTGACACTATAATAGGTGTCAAATGACTGAAGGTTGTAACTGGTTCTCCTCTGTCCCCTCTCCCCTCCAAATGCCCTAGCTTTCTCCATTCCATCCCCCCACCCCAGAATACCTGCCCTGAAGCCAGCACTTGGCCCCATCCTTCCAGTCCCAGCTCCTAGCTGAAGCCACCAAATCCCATCTCTGCATCAACATCATGCCTTCGGGGAAACCTCGCTACTCTGTAACCCTGTGAGGAGCTGGGATGGCCCTTCCTGTGCAATTATGAATATGACCGGCCAGGTGAGAGGTCATCAGCCAGGTCCAGGGACAGGGCTGTCTTGCTCAACTCTGTTCCTGGTGATGCTGCAGGCTTGAATGCTCATAGTGCATGCCTCAGACTCCCCCAAAGTGAGTCTGAACATGAACTGACTTCTCCAAAGAGCCATTGAAGCAGAAGGGAGGCTGTCACCTTCTTTCTGCTCCTTTGGGCTGTGGGGAGATGAGCTTTTCTCCTGGGGCAGTTTTGCAGGTATGGGGAGGCTGTGTTTTGCATTATAGCCTGGCGGGGGCGGGGGGTGGAGGGGGGGTGTGAGGGTGGGGGGGAAGGGTGGGGAGGGGCCGGTGCGGGGGATGGAACTCCTGGCTTCAAAGGTCATACTTCCCTTGTGGCCAGGCCTTCTAAGTCAGGGCCCAGGTTGGAGCCACTCCCCCAGCCTCTGGACACAGCCATGCACACCCTCCTCCCTGCATCAAGTCCTTTTCTGACTGAAGCACTCACAGAAGTCTGCTTCCCACTTCCAGGTCTATAAGTCACAGCAGCAACTATGACTCACCAGAAGCAAGGGCAGGGACCCAAAGACTAGAAGGAAACACATCTGAGAGGGACAAGTGTGGGAATCATGCACGCGCCCAACCATAAAAACCTTGAGGATCCATCCATACTTGGGTTTACTAAAGGTGAAGTGCTACAGTCGTCCACGCAATCAAAGATAGGATTGCTACAACAGTAATGACAATGCTGTCACTTATATAGCAGTATTGTCTCAGGCACTAAGTACTTTAAACTTTAGTTATTCCTTAAAACAACCACATTAATCACTCCCGTTTTTCCAATGAGTCTGAATGCCTGTCCATGCTCACAGGAGGAGGACACAGAGCAGCCAGACTTGACAGGCTGCTGGAGCCCAGAATCCGCTCTCTTTACCTGGTATGTCCTGGCAGCCTCTTGTAAAAGCTACCCTTTATGGAGTGACATGTGCCTAGTACTTCCCATGGGACCTTGTCATCTAGTGCTCATGGAAGCCCTAGGAGAAAGAGCTACATTATCCACATAGTTTGTGATCTGCCCATGGTCACAGAGTCAACAAGTGGCTTGTCTGCTGGACTCTACAACCCAGTGCTCATAGCCACCCTAAACCAGGGCCTGAAAGAAAAGCCCTGTGGCCATGGAGGGGCTGATGCTTGTTCTCAGCTATCACACAGGGCAAGGGAAGGGTTTGTGACAGACACAGCCATTGCCCAGCAGTGTCTCTAACTTCCCTCCTGGACTTAAGTGCCTTCCCACCCCATCCAGTCACTGCCCACAATTCCTGCAGGCTTTTTTTTGCCACTGCTGACCTCTTTGTTCTCTGCCGGTGCAGACATACACCTTTTCAACTTCTGCCTGGTCAGCCACCATGGCACTGTCACTTGGGTTTGGATGGCCCATCTTCTACCCCTTGAGGGGAACTTCTGGTCACTTCCTGATGTTCAGGAAAGTTCATCCTCTTTTCTTTGTCCTCATTCAACCACTGAAACAAGCAAACTAGCCATATTCTGCTTCTGAGCTAAACATTCCCATATTACATTATTATATATTACAATATATTCCTATATTACATTTCTGACTCACTGTCTATGTCCACAGAACCTCAACCCAGGTCTGGCCCTTATCAATGTTCAGAAAAACACCTGTAGGATACACAGATGGCCAATCACTGGCTCTCAGACACTCTGGAACCAGTTCCTCCCTTCCAGCTGTCCCTCTGTGTCACTGTTTTCATCAAGAACCTATCTAGTGGGACTTCTCTAGCATGCCTACTCTGGACAAGGTCCCTTCCATTTTCACTGGAGTCTCTGCTCCACCTCACTTCTCATAAGAGTCAATCCTCAGCTGAAGTCTCCAACAGCACTGGAAGGAACCATAGGCTCTTCTCTCAAACGCCCCCATTTGAGTAGTGAAGAACCAACTGTATCCACAGAGAGGTCTGGCCTTTGTCCCGGCTCTCAGTCCAATGGCTACAAACCCTTGGAAGAAAGAATCTGACTGTTCTTTGTTGCCAATGACTCAGGATGGGGTTAGTCACACCACTCAGCCACTGTGATTATCAGCCTGGCCTCTGAGGAGAGGACTGGAGGATGGGTTCAAGTGAGTAACCAACCATCAACCATTATCAACTATGCCTCTCAGTGAAACCAGGAAAAACTCTGACATCAACACCTGGGGGCACCTCCTCAGTGTGGAAATACTCTAAATTTTGTCACATATCCAAGTGCTGAGAAGGTGATGTGCTCTGACTTCATGGGGAAAAGACAACGGAAGTTGTCTGACCTTGGAGCCCTCCTAGACCTCCTCCCCTGTGCCTCCTCTTCTGGCTGCTTCTCTTTCCTTTCCTAGAATAAAACAAACAAACAAACAAAAACCAAAAAACTGTGATCTTATGTATAGTATCTTCTCGAGTTTTCCTAGTCTTTCTAGCGAATTGTTAAACTTGAGGGGTGTGTCAGAACCCCCAAGACTGTAGCCAGTTGGTCAGAAGTGAGGGTAGACTGATGATCCCTCAATTTGCAGCTGGGGTATAAGGGAAAGGCAATCTTATGAAGGACAGTGCTCTTACCTGTGAAGTTTTGCTCAGCTTTGGGGAACTGGTGTCAGAAGTCACCGTGCTGAATTTGGCAAGGTTGTTGCACAGTCCCAACGGGAGGATCCTGAATATAGCCTAAGGACCTCCCTGGCACCATTGTCTGGTTTCCCTTTCACAGAGGTCAGATTGGAAGCTGTATGTACACAACAGAATTTTATTCAGCGTTAAAATGAGGGCAATCCTGTCACTTGTGACAACATGGACAAACTGGAGGTTTATGGACATTAAGTGAAATAAGCCAGGCACAGACAGCCTCCCTCACATGTGGAATCAGGGAAGCAGAGAGGAGACTGGTGGTCATCACGGGAAGGGGAAGGGAGGATGGGGAAAAGGATGGACACAAAGTTCCAGTTAGAAAAGAGAAATAAGCCAAGAAATTTGCAGAATTGTATAACACATGACTATAGTTAATAACAATTTACTGTATCCTTATAAAAATCACTGAGAGTAGATTTTTATTTTCTTACTACAAATAAATAAGTACACAAGTGATGTATGCTAATTAGCTTGGTTTAGCAATTCCACAGTTCATCCTTTTTTATTTTATTTGATTTTGAGGCAGGGTCTCACTATGTTACCCAGGCCAGACCCTCTTGGACTCACTATCCTCCTGTCTCAGCCTCCTGAGTGCTGGGCTACAGGTGTGAGCCACTGCGTCTGGCTTTACAATGTATACATTTTAAAAAACATTTATACGCCATAAACATATACATTTTGTCAATTAAATAATAATAATATTTTGGAAAAAAAGATCCAAAATAAAGGAAAAACCTTAGCAATAAACATTTCTAGGTGATCTTCCAGAGGAAGTTAGTGAGAAGAAAAGGCCAGAATCCAAGGACAAGAATCTAGAGAGGAGTAGCCCTTGGAGGGACATGAAGCATGCAGGCCCGGGACCAGGTGTCCAGCTGACTGCAGAGCCCTTTCTCTAGAGGGTGCAGAGGGTGGCAGGAGAAAGGGACACTGCACAGCAGCCTCTGCATCCAGGTTAATGGCAGGTTCCATATTTTCACTGTCAAGGTGAGGTGATGAGCATCTCATCAGGGTCACAAAGAATTAGATTAAAACAGCAGAGTGAGTGGCAGGGAACTGATAGAGCAAATTGACTCCATCAGTGAATTGGTAAGATTATGGCTGTCTCTCCTGATCAAGATGTGTTAAGTTCCACTTAAAAAGTGGCCATTGTCAAAGCCTTGGAATGGACAACCTTCAACCTTGCCTAGGGCCTTCTTTATTGGCCCACCCATGTGATGTCACTTGTCCTTCTCTAAAGACTTCCACTTGTGAGAACAGTCAGCCTGGAACAGAAGAGAATCTGTGCCCAATGTCCTCCTTCCACACAGAAAACGGACCAGGTCAGCCTTCCCATGACAAGAGAGTTTCCAAGGCACCCACCGTACCTGGAAGAAGCCAGGTCGAAATGCTGTGCAAGGCAAACTTTCTTGATATTACTCTATGTTTCCCCAGGAGGCCGGCACTAACCCAAGCTCGGACACCTGTGGCCTCTTCCTTCTAAGCAAAGCAAAAGGCAGCAGCAACCCCAAGCTGATAAGATTAATCTAAAGAGCAAATTATGGTGTAATTTCCTATGCTGAAACTTTGTAGTTGATTTTTAAAAAAGGTTTCATTTTCCTATTGGTCTGATTTCACAGGAACATTTTACCTGTTTCTCTGAGGCATTTTTTCTCCTGGAAGAGAGACGCTGATTGGCCCCAACCGACTGACAATCTTGTGTAACAAAAATTTCCAATGTAAACTCATTTTCCCTCAGTTTCAGCAATTTTAAATCTATATATAGAGATATCTTTGTCAGAATTGCATTGTTAGCGTCTCCTGATAAACTAATTGTCTCCCATTGTCACTGACAATAGAGATTTATTGATGGGTCTCACCCCCCAGCTGACTGCTGCTCTGTTCTGCCTACTAGCATGTACTGGCAATCTTGTCCACGGATGCAACCGTTCCTTAACAGAGATCATCCAAACTTTGAATACACTCTCAGAGAAAAAAGTGAGTACACTGTCTGGCACCGTCTCTCCAGATGTTCTAGTGATGCCTTAGGTACTTCTGGCCCTGAGAAGAATCCAGCTGCTAGAGAAGTCAGTAGCTGGTGGCTGGGAGCAAGATGGGGAGCATAGCAAGACTTCTCCTCCATCACTTTCTTCTGGGGAATTGCAGGAAGTTTTCTTGGTGTGAAAAAGTTAGAGAGGAGTGTCAAGGATTTCTCTGTCCAGCTGGAGGTTAATTCTGTCTTTTGCTCTCTCGTCCTGCATATGCCAAGACTTCATGCACCGAGTTGACTGTAGCGGAAATCTTCGCTGTCCCCAAGGTAAGAAGCTACTCTGTGACCTGCTTTGACAGATGAGGGGGCTTGTGAAAGAAGGGCCATCTACAGTGTTTGAACAAGAAACTTCTTCAGTGAAAAACAAGCAGGCCAAATGAACTATAAGGTGTTAAATGTTTTTGTGCAATGAGAATTTTGCTTTTTACTCTTAAGCATGGTTTAGAGTTTCTGGTTTCACTTGAATTAGATGTGTAAAAGCTGGTGTTTGGTAATCCTGACTCAGATTTGGTCAAGTAAAAGCTCTATAGGTTTTACCCAGCCTTGGCATAGTACCAGGAACATAGGAGGCACTCAATAAATGCCTGTTGAGTGAGAGGATTTTTCTGGCCCATACATTTCTAAAAACCAGATACTCTCAGAAACACAGAGATTGAGATTACAGCCTGAGAGAGAGCTTTCACTTTGTCTAAGAGACTTCCTATGGCAACAGAAAATGTATTGCCAGAGCCCCTCCTCTTCTACAGCCTGGTCACCTACCAGCCTAGGATCCTGAGCTGGCTGTCCAGAGACCCTCAGCTCACTCCGACCTGTCAAAATTCTCTCCAGCCTGGCCCAGAACCATCCTGCTGGATGGAGTGGGGTCCAATCCATCCCTGCTTCTGCTTGGGCATCTCAGCTTTCTGCTTCCCTTGCTCTCACCCCCGCCCCTCCATCTGAAGTGGGAGGAGATAGATGTGACAGCTGATAGTGCATTTTCTCTGACAAACACATGACTACAGCCATATCAATAGCTCTGTGCACTGCAGTTCCTGTTTTCATGGAAACACACAACTGAGAATGAAAGCCCCAAAGCTCGATCTACTAGTGGTCTCCTAACTACCTGCTTTCCATGGGTACTAAGATGGGGTGACTTGGAGAGGAGTGAAACCTGTGGGTGGGTGGGTCACCCAGTACCCAGGCCATGAACAGGACTTGATCACTCCAGGAGGAGTTGTTGTTCAGACTTTTATCCTCACTGTCTGATTTCATTAAAGATTATTCCAAGAGTCTGATACAGGATGAGTTTCTGAAGGAATATTTATATATTATATAAAATGTATTCTATATAAAACATTATATAACTTGCAACTTTCTGTCTATATAAAATCTCCAAGTCCTTCAACCCAGGTGATACCTACTAGAAGCCGGGTCCACTGAGCTGTGCCCTGGGTCTTCCTGAGGCCGCGGCACTTCTGAGAAAGCTCTAGCAAAGGTGAGGGAAGAGACAGTTCACTGGGGGGGTCTGGAAAGGACAAAGCCTGTGGTTCTTGCCTCAGTTGTGCCATTAACTAGCTGTACATCCTTTGGCAAGTCTTCACAGCTCGTTTGATATCATTTGAAGATATAAAAGTGATCTTGAAGTTGACTTGACGGTTGGTTGAGTTGGTGGAAAGTGTTAATGTAAGATAGCCATGATTAAAGGCACAGGCTGGCAGCAGAGAAGCAAGGATTCTAAGAAAGAGGGTCCATATTTGGAAATGGCCAAACCCTTTATGACTGTGACACCCATACTGCACTGTTACTAGAAGAGCACCCCCACTGCCTTTCATCTCCTCCCTTTTCCCCTCTTACTCAGTTCTCACACATCTTCCTCAGCACTTCCATATAGATGGGTCCTGAACAAGTCCTCATGCTTTTGTGTCTCATAGGCATTCCCCAAACTGCTTCTGTCTCTCCTGGAATTAACTATCTCACACTTCAACTCTTCTTTCCCTCAAAGACTCAGCACTGCTTACTTATGTATTAAGATATTTCTGAAAGGGGAAAGGTTATTTTCAAAAACCCACAGAAGTGCTATGTGGGAAAAAAAGATACTTCTTTGTGTTCCCAAAGGAGAATATATTTCCAGACTCCAGTGTAATGACTTTGTTTTTTTGGGAATCAAGAATTTCAGTGTCTCCAGGTTGGATATCATCATGTTCTTTGCAATTGCTGGAAAGAATATTCTGACTAAATTCTAGGCTTCACAGGTCACACCTGCCTGCCTGTCAGTGAAACCAAGGTTGTCTGAGAAAGTGCAAAGTAGAAAGCAAGCAAGCTGGATGCTCTCTGAAAGACTTTTGGGCGGAACCAAAATGTGGTAGTTAAAAGTCCATAATTCTTTAGAGAGCTCTGTACTCATATGGTTTTTCCTTGCTTGTTGTTAATGAATATTCTTGTATATAGCACTGGCTGACTAGATTTGGGCAGCTGGAGATAATGAAACACGGTAACAATAGGACTTGATTTTTTTTTCATAGCCCTAAATGAGGCCTGTCAAGAACTGAGTTAGACCACTAATGGGGCCACTGCTGTAGAAGAAACCTCCTGGGTGGCCCTTCCTGCCACTCATATGAGGGACAGATTTGGTGTGGTCCTGGGATCATCTTTTGAGTCTCTTCCTGAGCAGTTGTGAACTGTCAGAGTGCATTCTCTGAGCCATGGCCAGAACCCCAAGGACATAAGAGCTCTACAGGCAGAAGGACACAATGTGGCAAGATGCTGGGGGTGGGATAAAGCATCATCTTTTGGCAGCAAAACCAATGGAACTAAAATTTTTAGGCCTTTGACTAAAACTGCCTATAAAATGAGTTGAAGTTTTTCCATTTGATGCAAACTCTTTTCAATTCTAATTTTATCTGAATTACTTTTAGTAAGTTCTTTGAAAAATATCTTCAGAGGGTTTTTTTTTCCTGCATTATGTGGTAAAGTGGCCAAAACTAACAGGCAGTTTAATTCCTAGGCTCCAAGCCAAAGATTCAGAAAAGTCTCACTAGGTTTTGATGGAAAAATAAGCAAAGGAGCTCTTCTTTTGGCATTCTCTCTATAGCAACAAGAGTGCTTTCATTTGGAAGCACAGTGAGGGGGGAAAGTGCAATCAGTCTTTTTTCCACCTCTCCTCCCCACCCTCTGCTCACTCACAAAGCCCAGAGCCCTGACACCTGGGACCTCTCTTACATTTCCTACTAGAGTCAGGATCAGGGTGTCACTCAGCCAGTTTACTAAGGGAAATGTCCTTCCACCCACCCTGCCCTGAGACATGGAGCCCCACAAAGGAAGGGAGAAATCTCTGTGGTCTGGAATTCCGGTGCCTCAGGCTGGGTCTGTATCTTCCTGGATAACCCTTAAAATTTGTTTTGCACTTCTAGAGTATAGTCTACAGACATAAGAGATGGGCACACATACTTACATTGATTACTCACTGCCAAAAATCTGCTACAACAGAGAACTGATAAATTATGTTCTCTCAATCCCATGTTCTTAGAGACTACTGAAGGACTTAAGAAAATGCCTGTAGTCTATGTTAAGTGTGAAAGGACATAAAACAGTATGAACAGTTGGTCCCTATTTTGGAAAAAAATGTATTAAAACAACCTGGGAAGGTATTTATTGAAATACTAATAGTACAGCTAAAAATATACTTTGATAGGAAAAATAGGTAACTGTAAGAACTTCAGATCTGCTTGGACAGTGCGTCCCTATGAATTCCCCAGGGATCTTGTCACTGTACATTTTGGCTCAGCAGGTCCAGGGTGGGGTCTGAGTTGCATTTCTAACAAGCTCCTGTGAGGCACCCATGCCACTGGTCCATGAACCACACTTGGAACACCAAGGGCCAAGGGCAGGTCCCAGCAGAAGCTACAGACAGTTTCCTTATCTAAACTAAGATGCAGAAACAGAGCTCACAGAGACCACGCTCCAGGTTCTGGGGCTGTGCTTCAGTGGAAAATCAGAGGACACACCAGGCCTGGATAGACTGAGACACAATCCCTCTCCCATGCTCCCAACAAGAGCTGTTTGCCCATTTACATATTCCCTCTTCTCGGTCCCAACATACCCAAGAAAACCCATGTGGCCAGACCCACGTTAGCACTGCCAGCATTCCAAGGCATTCTCACTGTGCCCCATTGGAGGCCAAACACCCCTTAAAGAACCTCTTTCCAAGGCCCAGTTCAATTATACCCTCTCCCAGGAGCACTCCCTGTGATGCCTCCAGGCCAGGCTCCTGGGCACCTTGTCCTGAGCACACTGCTCTGTCTTCTGGGGAGGGCCAAATGGAGAGTGCTGCCCAAAAGGATGGTGGACATTTTTTCAGCAAGTATGGTAGGTTTCCAGGGAAAGGTGGATTCTGAGCCTTCACAGGAAAGAGAGCAGCATCTGATTAATGCTCACACAGAAACTGGCTGCAAAGACAGATGGTCCTGCGTTCCAGTTTTCACTATGTCACTTGCCTCATTGGCTGACTTTAATTCAGGTACCTCTTCAGCAAAACCGTCCATGGGAAAAGAACTTGGAAGGTTCTGAGAAGGTTGCAAGTAATTGAGAGAGGTTGTTGATAGAGATTTATCACTGCCCAAGTGGCCTTCCTTCATGTCACAGGAATACTTGAATATAGATCCAAAGTTGAGCAAATTCACCTTCTCCGGTTACCTTCCTGGAAAGAAGAAATCAGATGGAAAAACAATCTCTTTCCCATGCTGAAATTAGAGTAGCTCATAGCTGTCTATGGCATTTCTCTTTGTAGAACACAACAGAGAAGGAACTCCTGTGCAGGGCTACAGCTGTACTTCGGCAGATGTATAACCCCCAGAGCAAGGTGACTCAGTGCTTGACTGGGCACAAGGACCGGGATGTCCTCTCTCGCCTGAAACAACTCTACAGGATCTTACACAGCATGGTTCAATCGGTATGCTGCGTTGTGTTCCTGGCTGCTAGAGCTTGGCTTCCCAGTGGAAAACAGCTTCACCTCCAAATGATCCTCCTTATTAGCTGTAGTCCCCACAAATAACCAACATCTTCACTCAGCAAGCATTTGTTGAGCTCTTCAAGTGCCAGGCGCTGTTCTAGGCCCTGAGGGTGCAGCATTAAAGACAAGCAGGTAGAACCTCTACCCTCATGTTCTAGTGGGGGAGCTAGAAGAAACAGACATGTGATATGCTGTCTAGTAGTGTCAGTGCTATGAAGAAAATCATAGGAATAAAGAGCACTGATCATGGGTGAAGGGTCTGACACAGGAGTACTGACATTCTCTGAGCAGACATTTGGATTAAGTGAAGGAGCAGGTCACACAGCTAACAGGCAGAAGGAACTACTAGGCAAAGGCCCTCGGGTGGACATGAGCTCCATATGTTCACCAAAGTAAGCAAGGGAGACTTTAGCAGATTAGCTCACACAAGTGTTTGAATTTTTCCCCAAAGATGGTGGGAAAGACATTCAGAGTTTTGAGCAGTGCAGAGATTGATACTGTGCTTTAAAGGTGTCACCCCAGCTACCATCTGGTAAATACAGTGAGTGGACATAAGTGGAGAAGAAAGATGGCCTGTCTGGAGGCTATCATAGTCGACCAGGAGAGAGAATAACAGGGGCTTAGACAAGGTGGGAGCAGGGGAGGTGGTGAGACTTGGGGTATAACTAAACATAGAACCAGAAGGACCTGCTAACAGCTTAGCTGTGAGGGATGAGAGAAAGAGGAGTAAAAGGGGCCCTCTTGGATCCTGGCGAACCCCTTTGGGAGAAGCTAGTATTGGTTGCAGAGACATGAAGACTGGGACAAAGCAGGGTTGGAGTCAAGCAGAAGATTAAATGTTTGTCAAGAACTTGGGCTGGGATGTAGATCAGTAGCAGAGCACTTATCTAGCAGGACAGTAACCTCTTCCCTCATAAAACAAGTCAGGTAGCTATTAAATAGCTGACTGGACATGTTGAGACGACAATTAGAGTCTAGAGCTTAGGGAAAGGTTAGGACTTACAATTTAAAATGGAGATTTTTTTATAGAGACCATTTAAAACATAAATGAAATGGGGAAAGAAAAAGATCCAAAACCTGAGCCTTGAGGAGGAGCCAGTGAAGGGGACTGAGTATTTGCCAGTGAAGAGGGAGAAAACCGAAGAGTATGTGGTACCCCTGAAGAAAGCAAAGACTCTCTTCGAAGGACAGAGTGATCATCACTGTCAAATGTCCTGAAAGGTCCAGTACAATGTTGACAGAATGGCCATTGAGTTTGCCATGATAGAGGGCATCAGTGATGCTGGTATGAATGGAGGGGCAGGGAAGTAAGCCAGACTGAAGTTGATTCAGCAGAAAACAGGGTGGCGAGAAGTTAGAGAAGGGGCAGTGAGCACAGAAAAGTCTTCGGGAGAGTTTTGCTGTAAGGCACAGCTGAGGAGCAAGTACGGCCTGAGGGAGGTTCTTTAGGTGGGGTGTATTCAGCACGCTAGTATCTGAATGGGGATGATCTAGGGCAGAAGGGAGAATGGATGCTATAGGAAAGAGGGAGAATTATAGACAAGAAGTCCTATGGCCAATGGTGGGTGTTATCTAATGACAAGCAGAGGAACTGGCCTTAGAGAGGCACAAGAACCTTCATCCCTTCCCTGGGCCTACTGCCTTACTTATAAGGTAAGGGGATGCAGTGGGGACCTGGCACAACACACATTTCTCTTTATATCTTCTTAGTGAACTTATGAAGTAGGCACCATTGTGAATCTTTTATAAATTAAGTAGCTTGTCCTAAGCCACACAATTAATAATTGGTAGAGCTGAGCTCCAAACTGTAGCAGTGGCCTGGTGGTAGGCACCAGGATGCCTTCCTTACTTTAGAGCCACTGCTGCTGCAGTACTGCTGTTTCATGGGCAGGAAGACAACATGAGCGCATTTGGCTCCCCAGGCCAGGCAGTCATGCACAGGCCAAGCACGGCAACAGGTAGGTCTGAGCCCACACCTTCCTGTGAGAAGCCCCTAGCTGTGACACGCCTGAGACTGTGGCATCCCTGAAAGCAGACAGCTAGTGGTGGTATAGTAACCAGTTCTAGAAGTGTAAGTGGCATTTACCAAAAAATAAGCAAACCCTGCTGGCCTAGTGGCAGAGTCAGACTTCCAGTCAAGCTAGACTTGGTTTGATTATTGTTAACTGGCAAGTGTCAGAGTCGGCTTGACCAAGTAGACAAAGTAAATAGGCCTGGTAGCAGACTAGAATGCTTACTGATGCAAGCTAATGAAATGTTTCTTTTGTAGAAAAACTGTCCTGTGAATGAATCCATGCAGACCACTCTGAAAAACTTCTTGGAAAGCCTAAAAAGGATCATGCAGAAGAAATATTCACAGTGTGGAAGCTTATTGTCTTAATTTATCAGTTTAAGTAGCTTTATTTTTAAAGTATTTATATATTTATAACTAATTATAAAATAAAATATATGTAGACTCTCACAGTCTCAGCATTATGGTATGGTTCTCTTCACCTGGCAAATGAGCTTATGGTTTGCAGCTCTTAAAGAAACCAGTTTAGTTATTGAGAGGCTATTAACGGTGTGGGAGCAAAATGGAAAGACCACTTCCTGCTCGAGGAGTTCCTTTCTCACTGGGGACATGATCCAAATAGAATTAGAGAATACAAGGCCACTGGACAGGTAAATGCCAAGAGAGCTCGCAGAATGGGTCCATGTGTTCTACTAACTTTCACATATTTCTGAATTGAAAAGGTTTCAGCAAGGCTGGGGTGTGCAGTGGTAGAATTGCTTGCCAGGCATACACAAAGCCCTGGGTTTTGAAAACCAGGGATTGACAAAAAAAAAAAAAAAGAAGAAGGAGAAGAAAAAAAAAGGCATTAACTGGGTTCTTAGAACATTCTTCTCCCATTGGCATAAGGAGTATTATATTGAATCTGTAGAAAAAATACTCCTCACACAGTTCAGTTTTGTAGTTAACAAAATTTTAAATTATAATAATGCAAATTCCCTTGGTTCTCAACTCTTAGAGCCACCAATAGACAAAGCACAGAAGACTTAATTACAATTAAAGAACAGATTATAAATGCTATCTACCTGACAATATAAAAGGTATAACTGAAAGTGGTTGGGAGGTCAAAGCAGAAGCAAAGAAAAAAGCAGGGGACTAATATCCACAGGGAGGAGGTCAGTTATAACAATGCTGACTAAAGTTGATGCAGCAAGAATAAGAAAATTGGTGGCATATTCCTGTAATCCCAGCACTTGGGAGGCAGGCAGGAGGATTGCACGTTTTAAGATAGCCTGGGCCACATAGCGAAACTCTACCTCAAAAGGTAATAGAACTCAAAATAATTTATTATAAAAATATGGAAGGGAAGCCAGGTGTGGTGATACACACCTGTAATCTCAGCTACTCAGGAGACTGAGGCAGGAGGATCACCATGCGTTTGAGACCAGCCTGGGCAACATAGTGAGACCATCTCAAAAAACAAAAACAGCTGGCACAGTAGCTCATGCCTGTAATCCTCGCTAGGGAGGCAGAGATCAGGTCAACAGGGGCAAAATGTGCAATTACTCCCAGCTATATGGGAAACATAAATAGGAGGAGCACTGGCCTGGGCATAAACCAAAGGTCCTGCGAAAAATAAGGAAGAATGAGTTGGGTGCGTGGCTCAAGTGGTAGAGTGCCTGCCAAAACACAACAAAGAAACATTTATGAAATAAACCTTCATTTTTCAAGTTGATAAATAAATAGTTGGAAAGAGTGGTCATGAGTTGATGACTGCTGTTGCTGGGAACAGGTACATGGGAACTGACAGTACTTCTCTGCTTTTATAAATATTTTAGAGTTTTCATAATAAAAAGTTAAAAGTAATGAATCAAGAAATCATTGGAATTATTCACGATAGTCACTGGACAAATCAAAAACAAAAAAAGGAAAGATAGTTTGCTGGGAAAGGAACTTAGACTAAGGAGGGATGAAGCAAGGTTGGAAATTGTTAGCTTTCCATTATAAGTGTGTGTGTGTGTGTGTGTGTGTGTGTGTGAAAGAGAGAGAGAGAGAGAGAGACCATGTGCATAGCAAGTGTGTGACCATGTTTATTTTGAAATTAAAGTAATTTAAGAGACAGATAATAACAAATGTTGGCAAAGATGTGGAAAAACAGAACCCTTATACAAACATAGCTAGTACAACTGGAAAAGGGCTTTGCGCTTTCAAAGCTGGCGTTCTATCACTTGAACCACAACTAGCCCATGAGTGGAAAATGATATAGCCGCTTTGGAAAACAGTTTGGCAGTTCCTCAAGTAGTTAAACATAGTTTATGCCTCAGAAATTTCAACCCAATACAAACACAAAATACCTGTCAGCATATGTCTACACAATGTTCATGATGGCGAACAAGTAGAAGCAAGGCGTATGTCCCTTGACTGTGAATGGATAAACAAAATGTGTTATGCCCACACAACAGAGTATTATTTGACAGTAAAAAGAAAGGCTGACACGTGTCTCAAAATGGATGAACACTGGAAACATGAGTAAGCCAGATACCAAAGAGCATGCACGATGTGATTCTATTCATATGACATATCTGGACTAGGAAAATCCAGAGAGGCAAAACCAGAATACTGGTTGTTGGAGTAGGAGTGGTAGATGGAAGGGAGTGACTGCTAATGGGCCTGGAGTTTCTTCTGGGGAGGATGAAAATGTTCTAAGATAGTGATGACGGCTGCACAATTCTAGGAATAGACTAAACACCACTGAACTGTGTGTTTTAAAAGGATGAATTTTGTAGATATGAATATCTCAAAAAAGCTGCTTTTTAAAAGAAATTAAAGGGAGAAAAAGAAAAAACAAACCAAGTGTCAAATCATTAGAACTTGCCTCTTAAAACATGTTCTCTGTAAGAATATGGATCTAGTAACAGTGATTGAGCACTATTTTCATCCTCTCTTACATGTGACAAAAATTAATACTAGTACTAAAATTACACCAAAATAAATAACATCTTTTTAACCCTTTCAAAATAATGGGGAAAAAATCAAAAGCTTAAAGTCTCACCATGACCACAGCCAGTTTCACCCTGCCCACATAAAATACCAGCATGCCAAGGGCAATAAGTGAAGTAAGAGAGTCATGGAGGCTTCTGAGGCCAGCAGGAGAAGATACACACCGAGAACTTTAATTTCCTCTCTCCTTTGATTGCAACTCATTTGCATTCAATGGCTGATGTGAGCTGTAGTCTGCCACAGGATATGAGTTGTGGGTTACACTTCGTGTATGAGACCAGGATGATAAAGGAAAGGCTGTCAAAAAGAAAGAACAGACCACAGAAAGGACACATGCAGGCTCAAGACTGGTCCGTCACAAGATAAGTTTCGATGGTCAAGACACAAATCACGGTCCGATTTACTTCCACACAGGCAGTCCTGGACTCTGGATTTAAGTCTCCAAAATAAGCCTTTGAATTTACCAACAGAATGAAAGAACATGAATCCGGATATTTATTAAATAAATGAGTGGGGAAACTTTAGGATTAAGTGAAAGTTTCGATGCTTGTAAGTTAAGCATGTTCGCTTAGGCAATTTAGCCACAGATGGTGCCTGCTTCTCGGGATATGCCTGGTCTGTGTGTGGAATGTGTGACACTGACAGCAAAGATTGAACCATTTCACTCCACCCCCATTAGCTACCTCTGCCTTACTTAGCTGTCATACCCAGTATCTCCTGAACGACCTGCCCTAAGGCCCAGGCATTGTCTTAGCTGGCGAGAGAGCATCTCTTCTAAGCCAGCTTCTTCCTATCCAACTTGCAGCCTCCAGGCTGTCTTGCTCCTTCTTATTTCCTACGCCAATGTTAAGCCAAACAAAACTATGTTTAGATGTTTTGTGTGCTCACCATGCACTGGGTCCCTACCAGGCATCATGAGTAAAGAGATGTAAGGACACATTTGCTCCTCCAGTCTACACCAGTCATGAGTTCAAGAGAAAGAACTGAGAAGACAGGGAGGGTGGTACTCTGGCTGACTACCATGTCAGCTCCAGGGTCCAGGTCTGTACCTCATCTGTCCTTTTAGCAGCCATGTCTGGTTTTCTTCCATTTGATCTTTCCCCACATTTGCTTTTTTAAAAAAACAAACAAGGTGAATGACCCATACAAAGCCATTTCACAATAGGACCCAGGCCTATCCCTCTCCTCAGACCCATTTGCCCCCATCCCTTTTGCCCTACTTCAAGCACTGACCAAAGCACAGCATCCAAACATGAGTTCCCCTTTCCACCCAGAATGCTTTCCCCACTATTGAAGCGCTTCCAATCTCAGTCAGTACTTCACGGGAAAAGCAGCCATTTCTGACACTTTGGCCAGGCAGCCGCCATGCAAGACATCATGCTAACTGCAAGGGAAGAATGCTAGCTGACCATTCATTTGCCACAGAGCTCTGTGTGTGCTGCATTACCATTCTCCCTCCCCCCCTGAGGGAGGCTGTGAGTTTTCCAACACAGGGCAGGCAACCATTAAGTAGATGTACATGTACAGCAATGGGCCTCAGAAAACACACAAAAAAGGATGGTGGATGACTGAGCGGCATAACTCATGGTGGAGTAGAAATCAAGGCCTACCTAAAATTGCTGTAATGACTCTGGTACTTTTAGACAATATCCTCTTGTTAGGCAATATCCTCTTGCTAAGATTGGTATCGACTCTGAGAAGTATTTTATTCAGTTGTAAAGTCCCAGTTCTTTTGTACAATTGGAGAAATAAAGCCTTTGATTACAAACTAAAATTTCCCCAGCCCTCTAAAAAGAGATGGGGGAGGGGAGCAGGTGTGGAAGAATGTCTGATCTGTTATATTCTTTAGTCAGAGCCATAAACGTGTTTGGGTATGACAATCTGATGTTCTGATAACATTGATAAAAGTAACGTGAAGGTTGGGTCGCAGGAAGCCTAAGATAAATGCTGAGAGGAAACAGGTTGTTTTTGAAGTAGCCTCTTCATAATCATTTTCCCACACATTTGATCAACTTCCGATGGAGGACTGAATACCTGATTTGCTTTGCAAATGAAACAGCTTAAGAAGGAACAATTCAGCTAATATGGTAACAAATGTGTTTGGAGGCTCCTTCAGCTGGCTGTGGCTTCAGAGCTGAGTCCTGTCAGGCACCAGTTAAGTATGGTCTTCATTTATTTGGACAGCACCTTGTTTTAAAAATGGATTCAAAGTGATTCATTGGAAAAGATTAGGACAGAAAGTAACAATGTTATTAGGACCAAACAAGAAAGAAAGTGGGAAATGGTGATCCCGAGTCAAACAGACTAGAAGGAGACCACAAAATTTACAGTCCTATTAGCCAAAAATAAATAAATAAAAACACATTCTTTTACTTAGTCTTGTCATCCCTGAAGAAGGAAAATAATCCCTCAGGGTGATAGAAGAGATCACTCTAGAGGGTCTTCACAAGATGACATAATGGACATGTAATAAGCACCCAACTGACAACATGGGCACTCACAGTGAGTGAGCCCCTTAGGGGTAAGGCATGGACAAAGTGGTTCCAGAACTCAACTATAGAAGAGGGGCACAGGTGCAAAAATGACACTACTTATTATCTTGCTTGTGGCACAGCAGGCCTTTAATTTTATTGTTATGCTCTATATACACACAGGAGTTATATAAACTAGCGGCTGGGAAAAGACATCAAGTCCTGGAATGACCAAAGGAATCTTCTCTCTATGGAAAAAGCACATTTTAAAAAAAAAAGTGCTTTGAAACTAGTCCATAATCAAAATTTCTCAAAGTCCACTTTGAATTTCTTAAAGTTGCCCAGCAAAATGCCTGGTAATCAATATTTGTCAAAAGACTGTGTGATTGACAATAATCCATGCAATGCTATTGCTTTGGGGTACTCTAGGTTTATGAAGAGCCTTTGGATGAGGTCATAGTGGTGTTATCATTGCTTGCAGGTCACATTCTGCACATTCACTTCTTTAAACTATGCACTGAGAGCTGGTGTCTGTTCTCAAATACCCAAAGAAAACCATAACAAAACCTGCATGGAATATTTATGGTAAAAATAAATTTTATCAATGAGAAGTATACTTAAAAACATTCCTCCCAAATTTCTGATTCATGTGATTTCTGTTTAGAAGATTCACAATTACACAAGCCTCTCGTACCCAAACAAAACTGAGATGCCAAGCACAAAGACCCTGCTCCCTAATGTCAAGATGGAAGAAAAGACCACTTTACACATTAGGGAAAAGATTTTTATTTCTTATTTAACCATGCTGCATGTATACATATAATATTGGTATATACAACTTGAACAAATACAATTTATACATGAAATACAATGAAAGTGTGGCTTTTGAAATTAACACAACAAACTCATTGTACAATTTGTAATTTTGGCCAGTATACAGTATTGTAGTAATGTTACCAAAGTTTTTAATGAGTTAAATTAGTCAGACTACAGGGTAAATTCAAAGGCACTAGGAAGATCTATGTTTTCTTCTAATATTTTAAGGACAAAGAATAATTAAGAAAAACACGTACACTTTAAGAAATTGGGCACATCGTGATGTGCTTAAATGTAAACTCTACCCATTCCTTAATTCACAGCCCTGTGTGGGAAAGAGAGGGACTTTAAGAGTTAAGGAAAAAAATATTAAAAACAGACTAAAAAGGAAAGAAAGGCAAGTAAAACAAAAGAAAAACCAACTTCAAACCATAATCATAATTTGTTTGGCGTTATTGCTGTGTTGAACTCAGGGCCTTACCACTTGAGCCCGACTCCAGCCCTCATAACCATAATTTATAAAAGATGCTGCAGATGAAGTAGTTCTACCTCTTCCCTTCGAAGTAACCTTAACTACTTTTTCTGCAAAAAAAAATCCTTTTTCCAGAAAGTAAATGAGAAGACAGCTTGTCAAGTGGATTCTACTTGTGAGACAAACATGTGGATGCAGAAACAAACCTCTTGGTTAAGTTTCACAAGAACTTAAACAAATGGAATACTATTATATTTTAATAGCCTAACTATTAGTATATGTGATTCTAGAGTTTATTATAGAACATACTAAAACCAACAACATTCTACCAAGGTTCTTTTTAATAAATAAATATTGCTTTTTAAATTAAAGGAAAAAGAATACTCATCAATACCATATATGTGTGTGTATATTACTCATTTTAAACTTCCACACTTATTTCAAAGATTGAGCAAGTTTGTTCATTTATATTCTTTCATGAAATTAACACTGAAGTAATATATTTCACTTGTAGACAAAGACACAGTAAATGTGAAGAAGCCACAGAACTGGCAAGATTCATTAGAGCTAAATACATAGCTTTAAAGTTAGTGTCCTATATTTCTAAATGGATGTTCAGGCCTATCTTGAATATCTAATTTTGTATTTCATAAAATGAATCATTAATGTCCACCTGGTATAATCATTTCTAACATAAATGCTTTTTAAAAAATTACTGCTAGGAGTAGTGATCCAGGCCTGAAATCCCAGCACTTGGCAGGATGAGGCAAGAGGAATGTAAGGCTGATGTTAGTCTGTGCTACATAGCAACTGAAAAACAGTCACTCAAAAACAATAACAACAAAACAACAGCTAAATCAGGCTATTTTGAGAAATTTCTCAATATTTTGACTTTTATAGATTTATTTTTATTATTGTGATGGGGAGAGAGAGAAAAAATAACATACTGGATCAATTTTCTATTTTAAAGCTTAATTTACAAGTTATTCCTTTCTTATTAACTGAATTATTAAAGGCTAGAAACATGGATTTTTAAAATGAAGGAGTATGGATCTTTTTTGTTTGTTTTTCTACCAGTACAATTAAGATCACTGTAGAGTAATTAGTACAAAGTTAAATGTGCATGATCAAAACATTTTCCAATTACCAAGATACTCTGCTCACACACAACCTTTACAAGACACATGCTCACCTCAAATCTTCAGAGTACCTAAACAATGTCTAAAAAGTTACAAACTTCTATGCTACACAAGGAGCTGCCACTGAAAGGCAATTGTAGCCTAGCAAATACTCACTACACAGAGGACACTTAGTACTCTATTTGTGGATAGCACTTTAAATTTACAGACACATTTTTACCACAACCTCACTAGGATTTTAACTTCATTCACCCCTTACTCTATACACAGATCTGTAATTATAAACCAATATTTAGCTGAAACTATTAAAATAATATTGATTTAATAACTCTTAATGTGTGAAGTCTCAAAACCTTTGTAACTACTGCATTTGGACTTTATCATATAATTTTAAATGAATAAAAAAATTTTTAAATGAATAAAATGTAACACTGATTCAGGAGAATAGCCTTCAAAAAAGATTTAAGTAGCCAACATAAAGAACAACAACAACAACAAAACCCCCTACCTATTACAACTTATTTTACTATAAAATGAATGCAATTTAAATTTTGAGAATAATATGGTCTAACTGGATTAATCAATAGAAGAAATTCAGAAAAGAGTATTTTCTGTTTATTAAATGTGAAGGAAAAAAGTGTTTTAATTTTTTTTTTTAATCGCACTAGAGTTTGAACTCACGGCCTCTCACTTGCTGGCAGGCACTCATACCACTTGAGCCACTCCACCAGAATAAAAACTAAAGTGTTTTAAAGGCAAAAAACTAACGATATTTTCCTCGTTTAGTTCATGTTCTGGAAAATGGAGCCCCTTCTCAATTGGAATGTACAGGCAATTCTCATCAGAATTTAAAACTAAGATAAGGGAAAGTGCCCATTATGTCACACTTGCAGGAAGCTTTAAAAAATTACATGTACAGGTAAAAGATAAGTGACCAGCACTGGCTTCAAGAAAACATGAAGCCAGAACAACAACAAAAAAAGCATACTTAATTTGAAGTTAAAGTGGCAAAAAAAGGTCAGGAAGGTCCAGATGGAACACACTTTCAACTTTTGTTTGTAATTATTTATTTGGGGGGTGAGTACTGGGGATTGAACCCAGGACCCCATGCATGCTAGAAAAGCACTCTACGATTTGAGCTATATCCCCAGCCCTCAGTTTTTGTTTTTAAAATGTATACTTATGAAGAATTGCTTTTGGATTATAAAATTTTCTATAGGAGATCAATAAAATCGTCATCTTATACTTAAAATGCAACAAATGTTAGTATAAAACTAGAGCATATTTACACAGGCCAGTAGGGCCAGTGTTAGGACAGTCATTTTTTAGTTGTGCAGCCCAAATGTTCACATGTAACAATGCAACACAGGACAATTCTATCTACTACTTTCTATGTGCAAAACAGGACATACTTTTTTTTCTATTTTGAAATTTGGTCATCTAAATATTTAGTAATTGGGTAAATAGCTAACAGATTTAGACATATATAGAAACTGCAACTCTATGTGTGAACTGTTCCCCCAGCTTCTCAGCACAGTAAAGTTGAAGAGTAGTATGACAATTTAAACAATCACAAGTTGTACAATTTTAATATTTTATATTATCTTAACATATATATAGTCTAAAAGTTATTAGGCAAATTGTTATTTCCAGTCTTACTCCATGATTTACAGCTTCCAGTATTTGAAATTACACAGAAGTCTTCAGGGTTTTAATTAAAGATTTTGTCCAGGCATGAGAACATCACTAATTTTTATTGTGACTTTAAGTCTGTAACATTTACTGAAGTAAAGAATCAATTATGGTCTCAGGCTTTGCAGAACGCTTTCTGTTTGGAGAAAAGAAAAAGCAAGCATAAATGCTTTCCTAAAAGACCGAAATGTAAATACTTCACATTATGTAGTAAAACACAGGTGGCCTCAGAGTCTAGAAACAAGCCTATTTGGCATGTTTGACCATGACTAATTAATGCCACTCTTTTAGGCTAGGGGAAGGTCACTGAGAATAGGCACAAGAGGATGCCACCACACCCCAGTATGCCAGAGTAGTGAGGAAGGGCAGATGGTAATTTCCCAAACTGGACTACTCAAGGTAGTCAGGTCAAGTGGGTTACAGCATATCAGGCATAACCCCTTGATAATCTCTTCTGGGGCATGTATGCTAACAGTAGAGGTGTATTCAGTGACAATCAAGAGAGACAATTCATCTGAGGCATCATCTCCCAGCTGTAGATGTAGTGACTGATAGAAATGCCACATTAATGTATTTATTGCAGTCTTCCCAGCATGTTGAATTATGTGCTTCTCATGAGGTACATCACATTGAACATACCATGTAATATAATAATAATAATGATAAACCATTTATTGTGTATGTTTGCCTATGTTTATGGCTATCTATAATTTTTCATATAGCAGGCTAATTCTGGTGCACAGAGATGCTAACTGGCTCACATAATGTTAGCCCATACATATTTTCTTAAGGTTAAACTACACAAAAAGTATATATTTTTAAATGAGCATTATAGAAGCTGTATCCAAATATCAAACTGCATGTTTTAGGTCTACAGTACAATTTTAAAAAGTAACGAAAAAGTGAGAGTCCCATGTAAGTAATCTGGATTTCTGGTGTTTCAATCCTGACAACTAGGTAGGAACAGAACAGCATCCACTCACTTTGGGCAGAACTGTCTCCAGCTTGCTCCAATACCCTTCACTGCCTGTTTATCCTACTCTAGGGCCAGTTGTCTTACCACTTAACACTACATCTACATGTCATTTTTCTTACTAACTGAAGAGTTAAGAGGAAAATATCTCTACTGAAAATGGAAAAGTAAAAATTCTGAAAGCTTGTATTTCTTAGAACTGATTTGCTTTGCTCCTTTAGTTTACATGTGTGGCTTCTGTTGGCATGTGAAAGTTTTTTTAAACCCCTCATCTAAATGCTAAAAATTTGTATACTTTAAATATACGACTGATTCTTCCCTAACCCTAGATCAACTATATCAAACTTTTAGGTGTTAGGTTGTATCTATTAGGTTGTGTCACACAAAAAATTAAAACTACACATCTTTGCCCTACATCTAACTTAAAAGTACATTACTGTCTTCCTAGCGGAGCAGACAGCATATCAGTCTTATAACTCAAATGTGCATGAACTCAAAGTAAGGAAAAAAGAAGCCTATTTCTACCATTGCAGGAGCTCCAAAGTTTGCAATCAGCTTAAAAAAGCTAAATAGTACTTTGTATAGGAAAGGGAGAGAAGAAATAAGTTGTAGCCACATCGTGATTTTCAGGGTTTATGTGATGATACACAGCAAACTACCCAATTGTCAAACCCAGTGCCCAAATAAGAGGGAAAGATGACCAGAGAAATTTTCCTAACTTGTGACCTCAGAAATCAAGGTTTGTGAGCACTATTTATGACAGAAAAACTAAGTAGCTGAAAACAATATTTTGGGAGTCTAACCAGGCAAATTAATTAGTATCTCACTATAAGAATTAGTACAAAAATTAAAAAATTAAACAAGGTATTAGGTGATCCATTATACATCTGGAAAGAACTAAGTAAATTCTATTATGAAGGCTAAAGAAGTTAGAAGACTTTTATGTTTTTGAAGGCTTTTTTTTGTGGTGTTGGGGACAGAACCCAAGGCCTTCCTTGTACATGTTAGGCAAATGCTTTACCACTGAGCTACATTTCCAGCTCAGAAGAACTTAATTCTTTTGCTAGATTTTACTTACTCAAATTGTAACTGCCTAAGGAATTTGATTTTTAATATATTAAAATTTATTGTCACATTAAATAAATTTTAATTTCCTTTAAATATATCTAATTAGCTAATATATCAAAGTTATCATCTCTTGAAATTCAAGAACAGTACTTACCTTCTCCCTGTCTTTGGCCTTGCTTTTCCCTTTGAAGTCCGTGGCCTTTCTAATTTCATCAAAGACTGACGCAGACTCTCTTCAGTATAGGCAAGATACACGTGAGAAAGGTCTACTTCAAAGGGCTAAGTGAAAGAAAAAAATACAAGGTACTCTTATCGGAAAGAATGAAACCAGATTTGGGGGAAGACTTAAAATACTGAATAAACACCTAGCAAAAAATCCACAAAAGACAAAAACCAAATAAATTGCTAAAGACATCTTCTAATTCAAATATATACAATGTAATCACCAAAAGTTGGTGAAATCAGAAACCTTGACATATTAAAAATTTTCTCAGACATAAAGTAAAACCATTGCTATTTCCTCTAAAGCTGGTCCCTCTTCTTAATGACCTAGGACTGGAACTAGGTGTGAAAAGGAAGACAGATATATTCTGGTCTCACCATATTCCATGACCTAGACAGGTGGTGCAAAGAGGACTCCAGAGTGACTCCAGGCCACTCTTGTGGCAGAAATGATAAGCAGCCCTTCTGATAAGCCTGCCAATGAACAGAATTGTCTAATAACCACCCCATCCTAGAGCCTTTATTCCCAAAAGATGAGCCCACTGTTCAGTATAATGGCCTGGTAATACAATTTAATGACCCACATTCCTAAAAAGAAACAAATAAAAAATATATTTGCATATATATATATATATATATGTATATACATATATATATATGTATAGATATATATAGATATATTAAAAGGACACTTACATCTTTCTCCTTTTTATCAGGTACTGGAGTTTGCTTCCTCATGTTATTTCCTGTGTAGGCAACACATTTCTCAAAAAAGGAAAACAGGGAAAAGGAAGTGTCTTCATTAGTACTGTGAATTAGGCAAATTCTTGTGATGTATTCTGATGTTTCACTAGTAAAATATGATTTGAATGCTGGCTGTAGAAAGTGATTCAGAAGCCACTCAGTCCAATGTAGCCTCTAATCTAGACCATTCCTACCACAAGATCTCTGTGTTGTAGCTAATGAGAAAAACATCCTATCTGCTTGACTAGATTCTCATCTGATTCATCCTCTGGACTGCCTCCCTCATTATGGCAGCCAGCACAATTTCTAATTGACAGGAGTACTCTATAAGTATTTCATGAAAAGAGAAAGATAATACTCACTAGCTGCCACTCCCCTATGTCTTCATTCCAATGGACATAGTTTTCAATCATTTCCTTTGGAAAGAGTCAAAGATAGTCTATTTTCAGTATTTAATAACATTTAAAATATTGAAAAATATTCATAGCACTAAGCTCTTGATATTAACTGAAAAAGTTAAAATATTAAATGCTACATGGTACTTTCCTATAAATTTTAAAATGTATGTTTCCTAGGAACACATTTAGGCACCATCTAACTATATAAAAACAACAAGTGAGAGAATGATGGGTACAATAGTTTAGAAGAGGCAAAGGGATGGAAGAAGATGGTAGAACTATTTAGTTAGAGATAGGTTACTGACAAAGTCCTAGATTTTGTGTTGGGTGATGAAGTCACTACAAAATAACTAATAAAAGCAGGCCATTCAAAGGCCAACAAAGAGAATATACCAGGAACCCAGGATTAATTCTATGCACCTAAAGTCCACAGAAAAATTTTCAAACAAATTTCTTAAAGCTGTATTGGGATTCAAAATAGATTTTTTAAAAAAATCAGTATTTTAAAGTTTATTAAAATGAATTGGAAAGACAGAAATTTTAGATAAGAAAAAATAAGATAAGATTTTAAAATTATACTCGTATTCAGAATTACCACCCTTCTGGGAGATGAAAGGTGGTGATGGTTGCACAACAATGTGAATGTACTGAGCTATATACTTAAAAATAGTTAAAGTGATCAATTTCATGTTATGTATATTTTATCTCACACTCTCACACACACACACACACAAACACACACAAAGCATTAATGTCTAGGCCAGGTGCCAGTGACTCAGGCCTGTAATCCTAGCAACTCAGGAGGCAGAGATCAGGAGGATAGCAGTTTGAAGTCAGCCTGGGCAAATAGTTCACAAGACCCTATCTCAAAAAAACCCATCACAAAAACGGGTTGATGGAGTGGCTCAAGGTGTAGGCCCTGAGTTCAAACCCTAGTACCGCACACACACACACACAAAAGAATTAATGTCCATAAGAAGCAAGCATACGGGTCCTGTTTATTCTACTTGTATGATAAAATGAGACCACAATTCTGATTGTAGTTACATGAACTTGAGTTCTTCCAGATGGCTGAGAAATTCCTGTTTAGATATTTAGAGTCTCAAAAAGAGAATGACATACTAAGGAAAGTTAACAACTGAAGTGAAATATGATGACATTTGTTCAAGAAAATTTTATATACAATAGCTAAAGTGTAAATACACACCATCAAGTAAATTAAAAGTTGTATTTCCTTATTCCTTAACTCCAGTCAAGTGACCTAATATCTAGATCAGAGACCTTCCCACTTACCTGATAATCCTGAGGTATAAAATTATCAATAATAAGCATCTGAAGCCGAAGCTCCCGGCTCAGTTGCCGAATGTTTTCTAGTAGCCCTTCAATTTCTCTCTGATGTTCCTGTTGGAGATCAGCCATCTACCAAAAAATTCATGAAGATGTTATAAGCAAACAAGACTTTAAATTACAGAACAGATTCACTGACATAGGGCACTGATCTTGGAGGCATTATGCAACCTTACCCCAAATTATGGACAAAAATACAAAAATAGTGGACTATTATTTCACAATTGTCCAAAAATATAATGGATAGAGAAACACTATCACTGCCTATTTTTTTAAAATTTTTATTTTATTCATATGTGCATACAATGTTTGGGTCATTTCTCCCCCCTTCCCCCCCGTCCCCTCCCTTACCCCCTTCCCTCCCTTACCCCCCCACCCCCTCACTACTCAGCAGAAACTATTTTGTCCTTATCTCTAATTTTGTTGAAGAGAGAGTATAAGCAATAATAGGAAGGACAAAGGGTTTTTGCTAGTTGAGATAAGGATAGCTATACAGGGAGTTGACTCGCATTGATTTCCTGTACATGTGTGTTACCTTCTAAGTTAATTCTTCTTGAACTAACCTTTTCTCTAGTTCCTGGTCCCCTTCTCCTATTGGCCTCAGTTGCTTTAAAGTATCTGCTTTAGTTTCTCTGCATTGAGGGCAACAAACGCTATCTAGTTTTTTAGGTGTCTTACCTATCCTCATACCTCCCTAGTGTGCTCTCGCTTTATCATGTGATCAAAGTCCAATCCCCTTGTTGTATCACTGCCTATTTAGGTTATTAGTTAAGACTGGAAATAAAACAATTTAGCTTAATAGCTAAAATTTAAAATTTACATAAAGGAGAAACATTTCATTTCTTTAAAATTGTAGGCATACTCTTCATAATTGGAGAAAAAATAAAGGCTTTCCATAATAAACAAAAACTAAAAGAATTCAAGACCACTAGGCCAGCACTAGAGAAGATACTTATAGGGATCCTATATGAAATGAAAGATAAATGAAGCCTTGAAAATATCAGAAAGAAAAATCTCACCAAGAGTTAGATAAGCAAATGAGGACTAGGAAAGAACTAAACAGTATTTTTAAAACCCCACAATTACAAAAATTACTACACTTTCAATAATAACTCTGAATATCAATGATCTCAATTCTCTAATCAAAAGACAGAAACTGAAGGAATGGATTAAAAAACAAGACCCAACCATTTGTTGCCTACAAGAAACATACCTCAGTGGCAAAGACAAACATACGTTTTAAGTAAAAGAATGGAAAAAAAATACTCCAAGCAAATGGAGCCAAAAAACAAGCAGGAGTAGCTATACTCATATCCAACAAAGCTGACGTCAAACCAAAATTAGTAAGAAGAGACAAAGAAGGTCACTTTTTATTGATAAAGGGAACAATCAATCAAGAGCATGTAACAACTGTTATGCCCATCAGACTAACAAAGACTTCTTAACGAACTCAAAAAGCAAAGAGGGCACAGAATGATGTATTTCAGGCTCTGAAAGTAACTGACATTCTTAAATTATTGCATCCATTAAACCTATCCTTCATAATTGAAGGAGAAATAAAATCTGTCTATGATAAACAAAAACTAAAGGAAAATTGTAAGCACACATTTAGATTACTCATGGGTTCTTAACCAATCTTAATCATAGGAACTTATTTTTTTTTAATTCTGAACTATAATAGTAGGTAATTTCTAAGATACCAACCTCTGACTTTGCAGCCATCAACATAGTCCAAACTTTCTTTAATTTCTTGGTCTTTCCCTGAGCTTCCTCTTGTAAACTGGTATATTTTTCTTCAATATCCAAGCGTTCTTGCTATGATAAAAATTGGTAAACTTTAGAATAATTTTGTTAAGTTACAAAATTAATTTAACAAATGATATAAGTATTTACCAACTATTTATTCAAAAGAATCCATAAATCTGCTTTAAAATTATAGATATTTAGCTTTTCACTGGGAAAGTTAAACATATTAAAGTATTAAATTCAACAAAAAAATCACATTACCTCTTTTTCCTCAAGTTCTTTGCGAAGTTGCTCTGCTCTTTTCCTCCTTTCTTCCAGTTCCATATTAGATTCTTCAAGAAGTTTTTCTTGTTCCTCAGCTTTGGCCAACAAATCAACACCACCAACAATTACCTTCTTCTCCAAAGCAGATAATTTTTCCAACAAAGACTGATGCTCTTGTCTATTGATTAAAATAAGAGTACTCTAAATCCACTGATAATCTATGGTTCTACTAATCTCATTTCCCAAAATTTAACAAGAATTTGGATGCATAATTTCAAAAAAGAAATATAATTATCTAACACCTCTACCAAATTATACCATGTGTAATATTAATTCACAATTTAGTCTATATTCAAATACAATGGTATCTTTTCCTCCCATACAGAGATTAAATCAGATGTAATTTTTAGAAATGTACCACATTGGACTTTCTACTAAAAAACCACCACATTGAAGACAAAGTCAAGCTTTTAATTATTATTTAATTTTCCACTTAACAGGTCCTAAAACACTAGAAATTTAAATTTATGAATCTATCTTGGTTCAATAATACTCACTGGGCTTTAAGGAGATCTTTTTCCCGTTTTTCTAATTCAGCCCTAGCCTTGTTTCTTTCTTCTTCTTCCATGTCAAGCTTTGTTTCAAGTGCTTTTCTCTCCTCATCAATTTTTGCTTGCATTTCAACCATCTTATCTGGGGAAACTTTCTTTTTACCTATTTGAGTCATTTAATTATAACAATCATTAAAACAAGCCAGTGTTTCAAACATATAAATTATCTTCATATAGAACTGCTTATACTCAGTCATACAAAGCCAAACATCAGTATTTTAATGAAATCAAGCCACTATTTCTATATATTATTTCCTTGAATAACTTTTTAATTCACTGAAAAATTCAAGCTGTTGTTCACTTATGCAGTGATATATAAGAACCATTACAACAAAACTAAGTGAGAAGCAAAACAGATGAGCAGAAAAAGAGGAAAAGAAAAATAGGAAGGCCAAATAAAAAAGCAAATATTTGTGTGTCCCTAAAAAACATACAGGTTTAAAAAAAAAAAAAGCAAAATAATTCTTCAGTTACTTTTTCCTGATAATTAAATACAAAACAAATCGTTTCTCAAAATACCCTCCCCAAATCACATAAAATAAATACATAAACCAATGCACAGATAAAAATGATAGGCAGAATTTATATCAAGTACTTTTTAATTAAGTTTTCAGTCTTTCTTATTTGTGTTTAATAAAATCACTACAAAAGAATTTTCTGCAGTAGTACACTTCTAAAGGGAAAAATTCTATAATAATTCTGTAACAGTTACATAGTCATTAGGTAGGTATTTTAAACTGACAGCCACCCTGATACATCATCATACTTTAAATGAGCAATTAAAATAGCTCACTATTCTATTAAGCTCAAGATCCTAAATCTCCCTAACTCAGATTAAACATGCCAAGTGTCAAATGTTAAATAGAAATACTACTAAGTAATAAAGCTGGAGTGTAGCTTTCAATTCATTGTTTTGATTATAATGCCTAATAGAGTGTTTTATGTACATAACAGGTGCTCAATGAAATCATTTCAAAATCATGAAATTCATATGAAAAATCAAAAAGTTAAAAAAACTAGCTCATTAAAATGACTATGAAACTGAATCAATGACAATTCATTTCTGGTAATACAATTTCTTAGAAACCTATGTTCCTTCAGAAAACCAATGAAAAGTTTCATAGAATTGTTCTGAAGCACTCCTGAAAGCTTTGTCATTCTCAACTTCCTTCCAAAAGAAGTACAAACCAGAAGAGATGATAAACTGCTAAGGTCCCTACCCAAAATCCAATCCCTGATGCTAAAAAGGAAAAAGAACTGAAAAAATAAGTATGATGAAGCTATAGATATGAATATACTCTTTTAGGAACCATGAGAAGAATAATTCGTAAGTTTTATTTAATTCCTTAGTATGAAATTATTATTTAGAAACTCAAAGGTTTAAAAGACATTATCCTTCATTTCTACAAACTATAGCTCTAAAGCAAAACCTAAGCCCCAAAACAAATTAAATAAAAGAGTAAATAAAAGCACTAATCCAAATTCATGCTTTGGTATGGTGTGATTCATTGCATTCCGAAAGTCAGGATATGGACCTGCTCCTATTGGCCTGTTTGGCACAGTCTCCTGTACTGAACCTTCAGAATTACAATGTTAAGAAATCACTTTTACAAGTAATTTAACTCCTATTCCCAATGAGTTCCTAGAAAGGATTTTACATCATTTCACAGAAATAGGAGGGAAAATATGAGGGAAAAAGGGTAAGTTCAGGTTTATTGCAAGTGTGTGCACCTAAAAACCTGTAACTTCCTTCCGCCTCTGAATGAAATATTTAAAGAAAAATGGCAAATATGTTAAGGGCATGGATACTAACGGAATCAAGGAAATAACCTAATCAGCATATGAACATAAGTAGTTTTAGGCTTCTAGGGTTCTAATTGTTTTGTTAATAACTAAAAATATAGTTTCAAAACCCATTAAGAGGCAGTAAAATAAAAAGATCTTATATGCAGAAATATAAAATGCATGCCTCTTGGTGAATTAATACTATCCCTAAATTATATTAATAATTCAAAACCACTCAAGCAATTTTTTTCCAACAGATGCTTTTAGCAGCAAAAGTGTTACTGTGCTCTAGTAACATCTTTATGAAGATAGCCATGCATACATAGCAAGGGTTATTTTCAAAATCTAAGATTTAAGTAGCATGTTACTCTAGTCAGGATCACTCTGATGAATCACTGTATTTCTTCAAATAACATTTTAAGCTAAATATGAACATATGCTAACTTCCTAACCAGGCATTTAAAAAATAAGGCATCACTAAAAGTTACTTTTATATATTTTTTTTCTTTACCCCTTATTCCCTTGGATACAAGCCTTAGCCACCATAGAGCTGGCCCATTGGAATGTTTGGGATGCTTTAGTCTGGGGAAAGTGGGATTTCAGGAAGAAGCCTGCACTACAGGAACAGAGAGGTAGTCTGCCCTCTTCCCATTAACTAAGGACTTTTATCCCTCCAATGAAAAAAGAGACTCTGTGTGTGTGTGTGTGTGTGTGTGTGTGTGTGTGTGTGTAGTTTCATTTTTTTTACTTATTTAAGACTAAAGACTGGGGATCAGCTTGCCCAGAATGCACAGGCCCTGGGCTTCATACCCAGCATGCACAGACACACACACACACACACACACACACACACACACACACAAAAGGTCTCATCAATCAAACTGACCAATAAAATGAGAAAAAAAAAGCCCTTTTCTAATACCGCATGATGAAATTCAGCACCAATCAGGTAAAAAGTAAGTTGGGTGCCAGTGGCTCACATCTGTAATCCTAACTACTTGGGAAGCTAAGATCAGAGGATCATGGTTCAAGGCCTGGACAAATAGTTTGTGAGACCCCCATCTCCCAAACAGCCAAAGCAAAATGGACTGGAAGTGTGGCTCAAGTGGTGAAGCTCCTGCTTTGCAAGTGCCAGTGTGCCAAAAACAACAACAACAACAACAAAAACTTAATGCAATGGAGTACTTAATCAAGATAAAGAGAACTAGTAACATTTTTATTGCCTTTTGCCATGTGATGACCAAAACTGTGAAGGTGAACTGGAAGAGAAAGTTCAGGGAGGAACTTCAGGGAAATGCTAACAGAATTAGTTTCATTTTTATTACACGAATGCCCATGGGAATAGGTTATAGGCACTTGACTATGAGCTTAATAAAGGAGGAAAATGCTCAAATGTCAAGCCATGTATAATCACAGTTTCAGAATTTAGCTTAATGAGTCTTTAGGAATTTAGCAGAGGAAAGGAATTTTTTTTTTAAAGCTGAAGTTGAAAGATTTTTTTTAAATATAAAAGATGGATACTTACCTTAGAAAATTATTTTTAAAAATGTAATATACTTAAAATAACAAAGTTCTTTATAAGATAAATAACTGTACCAAGTGGAGTGCAAATCAATCACACCAACCTGCTTGATCTTGCAATAAGTGGCAAGCAAATCGCAGACAGGAAACATATGCACAGAGATGAGGAGGGAAAAAAGGAAAACATTATTTCCTTTGTAAAACAAAGAAAAATGCATAATAGCATTCATTTATAGTGTCAGAATAGAAATAAATCATTTTCAAAACTGAAATAGAGTCCATGTAAAAAGAAAGCATATTCAATACAGTGAGAGATGTAATTTAAGCAAGGCTAGTAAGATTAATTTAGTCTAAGATTATAACTTAATCTCAAGAACTCAGACTGACTCCCAAACTCCTACAAATGCAAATAGTTCAGCACCATGTGGTTATGCTAACAGTAGACATGGAATTGGGAACCTGCTGAGACCTGGGAAATCATCTAAAAAGGCAAAACAGAAAATTAAGCCAATTTTTAAAATTAGTAAGTTAAAAGTACCAAAATTCATATTGTTCATTTCCAAAATTTCCCAATTCAATGTTTTTTCTAGTATAAAGGTTCATTACAGGTGTCCCCCATTTTAAGAAAATCCAACTGAAAAACCTAAAACAACTAAATATATAAATTAATTTATAGTAATTTTCACTGATTATATGATTAACAAATCAAATGAATTTTAATTTTATTAAAAGAATTTAATGAAAAAAATTAAGACAGTAAGTTCACAATGTATTTATTTTCCAATTTGATTTATAAGCAATTATTTTTTCATAAAACAAATTTAATACATAAAATGAAGTGCACCTGTTTAGTAACAAACTTACATTCAACCTATTAGTAGATTAAGGGTAATTATAATAATGATTCTATAGAAGTAAATGACAACTGATGATTCAAGCAATAGACACCTAAAAGGCCATTCATATTTTTTAAAGGGAGGATACATACATACAAATTCCACACAGCAACCACATGCTGGAACAATCATCTCTTCACTTCAAAACACCCATGTTACAACAACAGAAAGTTATATACTAGGTATGCAAATAACAAGTAAAACCTCTTGAACTCAGCACAGTACTACTCATTTTATAACTTAATTTCATATCACTACTTTCTAAGAATGGTAAGTTTTAAAATAGAAAATTAAATTACAATACTTTCTACTCAGATATTTTCTCACAGTTCACAGTTTATAATACAAAAATATACCTCTGTGTAGTCTCTAAAGCAATTTCATCTATTTTATAAATTGCCCTCTGAAATTAATTGTTTTGGAACTTGTTTAAAAATCATCAATGACAAAAAGAGTTTTAATATTCTTGAAATTCTTCCTCTATAAAGCTAAAAGCATAAGAACAATAAGCAATTATTTTTAGAAAAGGTTAAGTACATAGATAATGCTTTAAAAGACAGTAAGCTGCAAAGTGGTAGAAGAAAGCATCACCTCCCTTTTCTTCTGAAAATGAGATACAAATAGAGAAAATTAAATAATATTTTTAACTTAATTAAGGTTTACAAAAAACCTTTAAGTTTGAAATACATCTAAATGGATCTTTTGTAGACTTCATGTGATTCTGAGTTCTCTAATCACACCTTAGAAAATTTCTTAATATCAGGTATTTAGAAATATAGATAAATGTCCATTTGAAATAAGATACTATTCAGTTCATCTTTACTTGCTTGAAACCTTACTTTTCTATTTCTTTGAGAGCATTCAATCTTAAGCTACTGCTAATAGGACTCCAAAGTATAAAATGTTTACAACTGTGTGACATGTTATAATGGACACTGGTGTGCTGCCAAATATAATTTGTACTTTTAGAAATTCAGGAGTTGTCATTAACATGTCCCTTATGCTGATCAGGATTAAAAATTCATAACAAAATGTGAAAAAGAATCATAAGAATTATTCTTTTATACAGCTTACTAGCTCTCTTTACATTATCTCAACCGCAAAAGCATGAATCTCTCTTCCATTGTCTCAAACATAAGCTAAAGCATATGTTTCAACAATTATGGTTAACAGGAAGCAATGAGGAGGGTAGGGGAGTCATCACATGCTTTGTTCTACTGAGAATCCACATGTATTCTTCAAGTAATGACAGGGAACAGTGCAGCATTTCTCAAATGAAGCCCATGGATTATGGAAAAGCCAAAGCTCTGTTAGAGAATTTAAGAGCTACCACTCACTAGGCAAGAACTTATCCAGAGGTTTCTCTATGACAGAACATGTGGAGTCTGAACTACTGCTGCTGCTACTGCCTGGAAGACAAAGAAATGAGCCCAACGGGAACCAAAGAAACAGAAAACAAGAAAATGAACACATATACAGAGAAAAATTCAGTTCCAGAGAAAGAATTTTTAAAGACAATCAAACTTTGTATTAAAGAACAAAAACTTAGTTTCCCTTAAACCGGTCTTTGTGGTAGTCTATTCAATATCCTCTACTTCACAAAGCTACATAGGGGAATGAAAAACTGTAGTGGAAAAATCCCACTACTCATCTAAAACATAGTAATTCAGAGGATCGAAATAACAAGAATAAAAAAGAAAGTAAGTCATTTGGTGACATTTAAGTCTACTTAAACTATTCAGGTTGATAAGCTAAGGAAATGAAGTCTTTTTTTTTTTTTGGTTTAGGCTCAATGCCTTGTGTTTGCTAGGTAAGCACACTCTGCTCCCTGAGCCATGACCCTAGTTCTGGAACAGAGTTTTACACAGTTAATGCTACAGGATTCATAAATTATCCTTCATAATGGACAGGATGGGGTATCTCCAATTTTTCTTTATCCCCTTAAAAGATCAAGTTACCAAATATAATTATTTCCATGTAAGGTTTGACAGCAAAACTGAAAAGGCTTACTGAAAAATTAAAATTTCTAAATTTGAAAGGCAAATTACTTTTAAATATTTTAACATATTAAAGAGTGGCACGTTTTAACTTAAAATTTATTTTTAGTAAATCTATTACGTGCTTTAGCTTTGAAAAGAATAGTTTATTCTGTGAGAAACCAGGTAGGAACACAATGCATTTTTCTGAGTCAGGCACGGGCAAACATCTTCTGCAAAAGGACAGACAGTGTTTTCAGCTTTGCGGGCTGTATACTTCCATGAGAAAGCAGCCACAGACACATGTGAATAAGTGAGCATGGCTGTTTTAATAAAATTTCTTTTTGCAAAACAGGTATGCGCTGGATTTGACCAGCAGGTTGTATTCAGCTAACTCTTGCTCTAAAACATGCTTTTCCTGTCTTCAGAATGTATAGAATCTTTACATATACAGTTTTTAAATGTATAGTTTTTAAATTTGGGTCTCTTGATCAAGCAGTGATGAGGTTATGTTCAAAAAGATCATTTAAATAAGACAAGCAAATATGCACCAGCTTGAAAACAATGATCTACATGAATGGAAGAGAGTTCTGAAATAAATACTTAGGGTAAAAAGATTTGAATTGTAAGCCATTATAATATGTCCATTTCTTTTACATGTTATCTACAACCTTAGCACAACAATCTGAATTTTGTGTAACACATGCCCCCATAGCAAGGTGAGAATGACAGCACATTTATAAAGAAAACGAATTAACAATATATAATATCCATTCAAATTTATTGTTTAAAAATCCAATGACTTATAAAGTCTACCCTTGCTTGAGGAAAAACTATCTTCTACAGAACTTACCCCTTCTCTTTTTCCTTTTCTCTCCATCTTCTCCAACTTCGCCCTCTTCGTCATCCTCCTCCTCTGACCCACTGATATCAGAGCCTGATATTTCTTCCCCTTGGACAGAAATTTAATACTATCATTTTTAGTCTGTAGCAAGTCATTGGCTATTAAAGAAATACCTATATCAATTTTCCTCGTTGGGTTTCTGTTGCCCCAATACAAATTTAAATGCTACCAACTAGTACATCAGATATGCTAATCTGAGAAATTGATGAGGTACACAGAGACTTTATTTAAAAATAAAGATTTTTAAGGGGAAGGTAATGAGGGTTGGACTCAGGGCTCTGGACTTGTTAGTCAGGCACTCTACCACTTGAGCCATGCCTTCAGTCTATTTTGTTCTGGTTATTTTAGAGATAGTTCTCACTTTTTGCCTGGGTGGCCTGGTCCACCATCCTCCTACTGTCATCCCACATAGCTGGAATGACAGACGCACACCACCAAGCCTAGTTTTTTCTGTTGAGAAGGGGTCTTGACCTTTTTTTGTAGGCTGGCCTCAAACCGTGATCCTTCTGATCTCAGCCTCCTGAATAGCTAGGATTATAGGCATGAGCCATTGCACCCAGCAAAAATAAAGATTTTTAAAGCCCCTAAAGAGAAGTTAAATTCTGAGCCATTTAAAATTCAAAATCATTATTTTAAGTACAGTTCTAAGCACATACAAAGATTATGTATTAGTTTTTTAAAATGCAATCACTTTTAGGGAGATTTCAAATAATTCATTCAACCTGTATGCTTAAGAGTAACAAAACTATCACTTAACACAATGATCTGATTTTTAGGGGCAAGAAATATTTTACAAAAGGGTCTATTTGTGCTTAAAATAACCTGATGGGAACATGGTGAAAGGATACAGGAGCTCCTCAGAGCTAAAGCTGGGACAATCTGAACAACAAAATAAATGATAGCATTGGATTACAACGCACAGGCTAAATAAATATGTGAATTAATAAATGAGGGAGAAGAGACTTTTCTTCTTTGCAATAGAATTCCAAACACTGCCAGTTGTAGTGGCTCACGCCTGTAATAATACTAGGTACTTGGGAGGTAGAGATCAGGGGGACCACAGTGCAAGGAAAGCCCAGGCACAAAGTCTGTGCAACTCCCATCTCAACCAATGAAAAGCTGGGTGCAGTGGCACATGCCTGCCATCCTAACTATGTGGGAAGTATAAATAGGATAGCAGTCCATGCCACCTGGGCATAAATGTGAGACCCTATTTGAAAAATAATGAGTACAAAAAAAAAAGAAAGAAAGAAAAGAAAAATAATGAGCACAAAAAAAGGGCAGGGGTATGGTTTAAGTGATAAAGTGCATTCCTAGCTCTGAGTATGAACTCCAGTATACACACACACACACACACACACACACACACACACAAGAATGCCAAACACTAAACATAGAAAGAATAATAAGAATAAAAGGTCACCACTGAGTAAATGCCACAGAATTATTGTTGTGAACAAGAACCATTTGATGGATGCTAAAATTAGTGTAAAAAAATATGATGAGCCAGACGCAGGTGACTCACATCTGTAATCCTAGCTACTCAGGAGGAAGAAATCAGGAGGACCACAGCTCGAAGCCAGCCCCTGGCAAATAGTTTTCGAGACCCTATCTCCAAAAAAACCCATCTCAAAGAAGGGCTGGACCTTTGCAGAGTCTCAAACTATCTTCCCACAAGATACATATTAATTACAAAAAACAGTAATAGATTTTCAGCTGAGAAGCCTTGTAGAATAACTATGAGAACTTTGTAGATAAACTAAATAAAGGAACATCTACAAAATACATGACCAGTACTCTTCAGAAGTGTCAAAAAAAAATTTTTTTGAGGTACTGAGATTTGAACTCAGGCACTCTACCACTTGAACCACATTCCCAGTCCTATTTTGTTTTAGTTATTTTTCAAATAGTTTCTCACACTTTTTGCCCAGGTTTGGCCTGGAGCCATGATCCTCTTGATCCCTTCCTTCCTGAGTAGCTGAGATTATAGGAATGAGTTAACATGCTGGGCCCAACAGTGTCAAAATCTTGAAAGATGGGCTGGCAGAGTGTTCACATGGTAGAGTGCCTGCCTAGGAAGCATGAGACCCTGAGCTCCAACCCCAGTACTGCAAAAAATAAAATATTGAAAGACAAAGATAGACTAAGGAACTATAGCAGGCTGGAGGAGTTGAGGATGACACGCAAATAAATCTAATGTGTGATCTTGGATTGGATATTGAATCCCAGTAGATCCCCAGCAATACACACACACACACACAAATAAATAAAAAGAAAAAAGAAATGAAAGGAAAAAATGGCATTGGAAGGAAAATGGTAAAACTAGATTAGTTAATAAGATTATATCAATGAAAATATCCTGGTTTTGTTAACAGTACTATGGTTATGTAAGATATTAACATAAAGGGTAGATGAGTGGAGGGTAGATAGGAACCTCTATACTGTATAAATTCTCTGTAAGTATAATTTTTAAATAATTTATAAAATTATTCCTTTAATGATTCTATTTACTTTTTATTGTTTATATGGTCAACTCTATTAACCAGATTTTATAAACAAAAGCACACAAGAGCCCACATAAAACGTGTTAAAAAATAGTATGATCATACAATCCAGCAATTTTACTTCTGGGTATATAGCCAAAACAATGTAAAGCAAGGACGTGAACAGGTAATCATACACTGACATACACAGCAGCATTACTCACACAGCCAGTGGATATGTGGAATAACCCATATATTCATTAACAGAAGAATGGATAAACAAAATGTAGTACAGGCACACAATGGAGTATTGTTCAGCCTTAAGAAAGAAATTCTGACATGCTACAACATGGATGAACCTTAAAGGCACAATGCTGAGTGCCTAAGCAGTCAAACACAAAAGGACAAATACTGTGTGATTTTACCTAAATAAAGTACATAGAATACCCCAAATTCATAGCATCAGAAAGTAGAATAGTGGTTGTCATGGACTAGGGAGAGAAAGGAATGGGGAATTAGTGTATTAATGGGTACTGAGTTTCTGTTTGGGATGATGAAGTTCTGGAGATAGGCAGCACAACAATGGGAATGTTCTTAATACCACTGAGCTGTTCACTTAAAATGATTAAAATGGTAATATTATTTTATATTTTATCACATAAAAACATGAAAAATAAATCAAATCAGCAATATAAAGGCATGTACTCCATATTAATAGAACTGACAAAAATCTTTAAAGCATAATGGCTAGAAATACCACCTAGTGGTCACATTTATAACACTGAATTTCATTATCTAGGAGACAGTTCACTCATTGTTTTTCCTCAACAACCTTCTCCAAACAATTGTGATGAGGTCAGCAACTCTGGATTTCCCACTGATGTAATTAGTTTCCCCACAGTCTGCAAAGGTGTAGTTTCAAGACCTCTGTTTACCTGGCATGCAGAAAGGCTCTACGCCCATCAGAAAGGGTCTACCTGTCCCTTGCACTGCATGTGCAGGGACAGCCTTAGCACTTAATGAGTGGGAAGTATCTCACCATCATGAATAAGATCTTTAAACTCTTTTACTCTTCTACCATTGTCTTCTTTAGAAAATAAATTCCAAAAATAGAATCTCATGTTCGACTTTAAGTATGAAAGCTTATATTAAGGCCATACAAATGTATTTTTACTTGTAGCAAAGTTGGTTTACCCATAATTGTCTAACATCTTTTTGTACTTCAAACAACAGTGATCTGGTATCAATCACAAAGGCCAAACTCTGATCATTTTTACCTGAATACATTCACAGTAGAATTTTTTCTTATACACAGACAAAAACTCATTATTTAATAAGTGGCCATATGAAATCTACAAAAAGTCACAGGGATAAAGATGGTAGTTTTAATTAACTTTTAAAAATGACATATACAAATATTGCATCATCCTACTTAAGTTTAATATGAAAATTAAACTTTCCAGAATTTTTTTTTCAATGCTGGGGATGGAACCCAGGGCTTCACACATGCTAGGCAAGTGCTCTACCACTGAGCTACATCTCCAGCACTTCAGAAAATATTCTTTCAAATATCAACATCAGAGGCTCAAAAAACACTCAATAGGTGGTTTTTGATAGAACATTTTAGTGGCTAACCAACATATTTTTGGCCAACATTATGATGAATACTTTATGCCAGGCACTGGTGGCTCATTCCTATAATCCCAGCTACTTGGCTGAGATTGGGAGGATTGTAGGTTGAGGTCAGCCAGGGCAAATAATTCACAAGACCCCATCTCCAAAATAATCAGAGCAAAATGAACTAGAGGTGTGGCTCAAGTATTGAGCACCTGCTTTGCAAATACAAAGCCCTAAGCTCAAAACCCCAGTCCTACCAAAAAAAAGAATACTTTACAAAGAAGTTACCTTCTTCAAGCTTTTTCTTTAGTTCTTCTATTTCTTTCTGAAACTGACGAAGCAGAGCATCCTTTGGATCTTCATTAATTCTAGCTTTATTTTTAATATTCTTAGCACGGTTGGCATACCGTAATGTACTGATAGTTTCATCATAATTGTAATCTGCTGGCCCAATATTTGCACACTGTTGCATCAAAAATACAAATTATTTTACATTACTATTGATTAATACTACTATTACAAGTCTACCAAAACAATGTTTGAAGTACATATGTAATTTGACCTTCTGGAAAAAGAGTGTCAATCACATGGGTTTCTAAATGACACTACTGTAGGCTAATACATATGGTGAATTACAAAAAGGACAATCACCAGTCAAAAAACTGAAATAATCAATTTACACTATGTTATTCATGCAATTATGGGCATAAATTAGAATCTTAAATTTGCCTGATGTTAACTGTGCCACAGAACTAAGTCTTACCATCATAGTTTTTGAGTTTCCTCCTAAGGAATCCTGAAGAAGGCGAGTCAATTTGGAGTTACGGTAAGGCACATGAGTGCTTTTTCCATCAACCAAGGCAGAAATTACATTACCCAGGGTGGAAAGTGAGAGGTTGATTTTTGTAGCTTCCTTTAGGCGCTGTCCAGTAGCTCCTGTTTTTGCTTGTCTTTCCGAACCCTAACAATAAACAGAGAAAAAAATAAAGCTAAAATGTTTTAAAATATAGAATATTTTTCCCAAGATTTTTTAAAAAGTAATTTAAAAGTAAAATATAGGATATGATGTCTGAAATTTGCTTTGAAATAAATAAAGGAAGAAATAAATGTATGAGAGTAGATGAAACAAGATTACTTACTTTCATATACACTTGAAAAAGTCTATAGTAAATAATAAGTTACACACAAATAGCAACTTAAAAATCATGCACAAATCATTCCTTTTCACTTTAACTTTTATAAATGGGTCACAAGAGTATTCTTTAAGTAATATCCAGTTACTTACAGCAAGATCTACAAGATGGAGCTTCCCCATTCTGACATGCATGTTACCATCAACGCCTTTTTCACTGCATTCTATAGTAATTGTAAAGATGGCATGGGAACGGGAGCTATGTTCATTCATATTGGTCGCACCAACAGAACCTTTAATAAAGGAAGGAAACCCTTAAAACTGTAACAGAGACTACCTTTTATAATAATTGTCCAGAATACTTAACATACTTAATTTCTTAGCTGGGTACAGTGGTTCATGACTATAATTGCAGCTCAGGAGACCGAGATCAGGAGGATCGTGTTTTGTGGTTTGAGTCCATCTTGGGTGAAAAGTTCACAAGACCCCACCTCAGTCAATAAAAAGCTAGGCATAGTGGTGTGCGCCTGTCATCCCAGTTAAGTGGGCAGCACAAATAGGAGGATTATGGTACAGTCTCTTTGGGGCAAAAACAAGAGACCTTACCTGAAAAGTCATTAAAGCAAAAGTGGCTGGGAATGTGGCTCAAGTGACAGAGTGTCTGCCTAGCAAGCACAAGGCCCTGAGTTCAAACCCCCGTACTACCGAAAGAAATAATAATACTTAATTTCTTCAGTCAAAAGCCAGAAAGCATGACTAAAGCCATAAAACCACAGGTGTGTATTTAGCCACCATATGAAATTTCTCTTACAACTTATCTTAATAACAAAAGAATTTGTAATGATCCTCATGTTAAAGATACAATTCTATTACAAAATACTTAATTTCAACAAAAAATATTACTGTCTAAAAACATCAGAAATTTACAAAGCCAGACATGGTGGTATGCACCAGCAGCCCCAGCTATTCCGGAGGCTCTGAGGCAGGAGGAGTGCTTGGACAACATAGTGGGACACTTCTCTTAAAAAATGAAGAACAAAATTACACACAAAACAGAAACACATGTTAAAACTGGAAAAATTCTTATTGATTCATCTCTCTCTAAAGAGAATTCCATTCTGGGAATATAAACCACAGAAATATTTGTACATATGCATTGAATAATTCAAGAATATTCAGTGCAACATTGTTTGAGGAGATGAAAAACCAGAAAGAATCAACAGACAATGACAATCAATTGTAAAGTAGTAACACTATGAATTACTAAGTAGTCCTTAAAAAAATAAGGTAGATCTGTACCCAGTGACATTAAAAGATGTTCATAGCATATGAATGTTGAAAGCCCAGTCAGTGTGGTGATGCACCCCTATAATCTCAACCTTCAAAGGCTGAGGCACAAGCATCATGAGCTTGAAGCCAGCCTGGGCTGCACAGGAAGATCCTGGCTCAAAAAAATTTCTATATAAGTATTTTGCACTAATATATTATGTAAGCAAAGAAGAATATCACCTTTATTTTTCATAATAGATATGTGTTTGGTTTTTCTTACAAGTGTTTTAAACACATTTATTTTACCCAACGCCAAAATAATCTTCCTCCTATATATTCAATAAGAACTCCTCTAGGCAAGCTTTAATTTTAGAAGTTAAGACATTAAAACAGTATTCTTATTAGCATGTGACTATATTAGAAGTCACGTAACTTGCACTAATAAAGCTTAAATGAAAAATTAGTGAAATGGCAAAGAAATGATATATGTGAGATAATAGTTATACCAAATTACACCCCGATTTTGTCATTATAAACTATATGCAAGTATTGAAATGTCACACGGTACACTATAAACATGTACATGTCAATACAAATTTAAAAACCAAGAAACTTTACCTCAAAAGAAATACGTAAACAAATATGAAATTGCAGTTAAAAATATTCATGCTGTAAAAGTTAGAGAAAATATGTCAATTTGCAATTTACTTTTTTTTTTTTTTGGTGGTACTGGAGTTTGAACTCAGAGCCTCACACTTGCTAGGCAAGTGCTCTTACCATGCAATTTACTTTTTTTTTTTTTTGAGGTACTGGGGTTTGAACTCAGGGCCTACACCTCCAGCCACTCCACCACCCCTATTTTTGTGATGGGTTTTTTTGACATAGGGTCTTGCAAACTATTTGCCTGGGCTGGCTTTGAACCGTGATCCTCCTGATCTCTGTCAGAGTAACTAAGATTACAGTGTAAGCCACCGGCGCCCAGCTACCTTTGAAATACATGAAAAGACAGAAGAAAGGACAAGTAATTATTTAAGAAAGCAAGGAGAGTAAAACTTTATAGTAGACTCATAAGATTTAAGAGTTCACTATAAATGTGTTGAGTTTGGCTACATGTTTGAAAATTTTCATAATGAATTATTGGGAAAAGAAAACAGAGTAAGTGAAAATAAAAAAAGTAGTGAAAGAAAACAGAGATTTCTGATTTCATATTATAGTTTTCTATCTTCTGTTTTTTTCATAGCTAAGATAAATTTCATTTAGTTTTGGTCAACATTTGTATAACACATAAGAATTAATAACATGCTCCTGAATACAATGTACATTATTTGCATTCATTATCACCTTGTAAGAAAAACCATCATCCCCCAAAGAGGTCTTTATCTGAAATTTGTAATGAAAAGGTTGAATTTCAATGACTTTTTTGCTTGTTTATGATATTCATGTACGAAAATAATCAGTTTTTAAGACATGATAGTGTCATAAACTTTGGGAACAGAGTACTGAGTAAGATAAACTATATGATTCCTTTTCTGATGGCAATAAGAAGATTCATTTGGTAAGTAGACACATAAATAAATGCAATTCTTTTCAACTACAATACATGCTAGAAAACAAGCAATACACAATAGCAAGCAACTCTGGATATGGTGATAAGGAGAAAGACATGACATATCACTAAGACCAGAAGAATGACAAGACATTTACCATTCATATTAGAGGAGATTATTTAAGTAATCTAGAAATGCAGACCCAAAGAACCTGTTGTAGGAAAGGGATCAGTTAGGATGTTCAGGAAATAGAAACTAAGGAGTTATGAAGGTCCAATCCAGGCCCTTTTCTAGAATGCCTCCCAGATTTATTATATTTTTATTTCACCTGTAGCTCACTCTAAATCCAATGAGACATAATCCAAAAATCCCCTAAAGGGGAAGTCACAAAAAAATTTTCTTAAACTTGGGGGTCATCAGTGGTTACCTTGCATCATGTTAATAATCACTTTTTGACTACTTAGTGAAGCTGAACTAATTTTACTGAAAATGCCTCAAAGGACTACAATTGGTAGAATTTTCTAGAATCCAAAAAACCAAGATAGCATTATATGAACAGCACATCCTTGAAGACAGAGACCAAGATTGGAATTTCAGTTCTGCTATTCACTAGCTATAATCTTAGGAAAGTTATCTAAAATCTCAACTAGCCTTTGTTTTATTTCCCCTGCAGCAAAACTACCACTTTGCAGCACCAAAGTAGGGATTAAATGAGAGAAAGCACATAATGACCTAAAACAGAACTGTCAGAAGAAAAAGTCTCTGATCTTATCTAATATAGATTTGTTTTCTTTCACTGAATGACTCTGATTCTCTTCACAATTTCGTAGACCATCGTATTCCAACATGGTTGTTTCTGAGACAATATATTCTTCTAACAGAAATATTATTCCCAGTCTTTGCATAAGGATTCATCCAAATTCAATATTTTATGAGTTTTACACAAAAGTACACAGGAGATTGGGCTGGTTAGACAGCTGCCTGGAGAATCTATTTCAATTACTCTATTATCCTGTGAGAGAACATAACTTGGGCAATTCTGTTTATTATCATATAAAAGTTCATGTTTTTTATTATAAATTTTTTGTTAGGATATATTCACTACATGGGGTGAATCCAAAGTGACAATTCTGATCAGATTCATATTGTTCATTATTTACATTTCCCCCATTGTCTCTCCCCTTTGCCCCCCTCCACCCTACCCAAAGCAATTGCAAGAGGTTTCTTAGTTCTGTTTCATAAAGGTATATGAAGTCCATCAACCATATACTGTCACCTAATCTCCTTCCTTCACTCTCTCCCCTCCCACTAGTAACCTGCCCCTCACCCACTGCACACACTGCGCCTATTTTACAGTCCTGGCTTTCATTATTAATATTTAAGTTGACATTCAAAGGGGTGTCTCAATGTATACCCACTGTGGGTATGCTCTACTTTGGGCTGTTTAATTTAATCCCTTCGACTACTCTCCCTTACCCCTTTACCTCATGTCCCCCATTTTTCAACAGCTTCCAATACACATCCTTCTATCCTCTACCTTCATATCTTATGTTATGCCATATCACTGATGCTCTATCATTCTTTTTTCCTTTCCTTCTTACCCCAAGTTCCATATAGTAGTTCCACTGTTGCAAATGTTTTACTTTTGAGTTTATATGTGATCATGCTTGTTTTTGTGTATGTATTTATCTTTGAATCTATTTTCCACTATGAGAGAAAATATGTGGCTTTTGTGTTCCTGATCCTGTCTTAACTTCACTTAACATGATATCCTTCAGTTGTGTACATTTACCTTCAAACCCTATATCATTACTCCTCGTGACTAAGTAATACTCCATTGTGTATATATACTGTAATTTCTTGATCCATTTATCAGTTGTAGGGCATCTGGGTTGTTTCCAGAGCTTGGCTATTGGGAACAGTGCTGTGATGAACATTGGTGCGCAGGTGTCTCTACTGTATCCTGACTTATGTTCTTTTGGGTAGATGCCCAGGAGCAGTATCACTGGATCACATGGCAGTTCTATCTCTAGTTTTTTAAGGAATCTCCATACAGTTTTCCATAGTGGTTGCACTAATTTGCATCCTACCAGCAGTGTATATGGGTTCCTGTTTCGCCACATCCTCGCCAGCATTTGTTGTTGTTATTATTCTTGATTCTGGCCATTCTAACTGGGGTGAGATGAAATCTAAGTACTGTTTTGATTTGCATTTCTTTTATAACCAGGAAAGTTGAACACTTCTTCATGTATTTACTGGCCATTTGTACCTCTTCCTTTGAGAATTCCCTGTTTAATTCATGTGCCCATTTCTTCATTTGGTATTGATTCTTTGGGGGCTGAGTTTTTTGAGTTCCCTGTAGATTTTAGATATTAGTCCCTTATCGGATGAGTAGCTAGCAAAATATTTCTCCATTCTGTGGCTATTTTCTTTTAAATGAAATTATGAATTTTTTTCAAAAAGCATAAAGAGCTATTAAATTTGATACCACTTCAAATCATCCAGTAAGTAGTGATACACATACAGGTTTCCACAGAGTGTTGAATCTTATTTTGTCTCTGACTTTTCCCACTTAAAATTATCCCCTGTGTGCGGTTATTTTTGTGCCATAACTATATAAACCAGTGATATGTTGATAGTTATTTATTGTTTATACCTAAAAATATTTCCCTCAAATATATATCTAGACTTTGAAACATGGATCACTGGATCAAAGGCATGTATTTTCTAAATGTCAACAGGTACAGTTAGCATTGCTCTTCAAAAACGCTGTACCAATATCCACTCCAACTCCAATGCCCATTTCTTCAAAGAAAAAAGCAACATAGATATCCTTCATCCAATTTGATGGGAAAATATTTCTCACTGCTATTTTAATTTGCATTTCCCTGATTACTTTTGAAATTGAGCATCCTTTCATATGGTATGGCTATGCATAGCTCTTCCATTTTTCTATTAAGAGTTGGTCTTTTTCTCAGCATTACACTGTTTATAAGAATGGAATTGGGCTGGAAGTGTAGTTCAAAAAATAGAGAGCCTGCTTTACAAATGCAAAGCCCTGAGAGTTCAAACCCCAGTCCCACAAAAAAACAGAAAATAATGGAATTGAATTTTTTAAAATTTTTGTTCAATTTCCTTCAGTGTGCTAGATCTATAGGCAAGTCATAAAAGCTTTTTGAAGTTTTCTTTTTTGGCCAGGCATGGTGGTATACACTTGTAATCCCAGGTAAATGGGAGATGTAGGTAGGAGGATCACAGACCAAGGCCAGCCCAAGGAAAAAATGTGAGACCCTAGGGCACAGCGGCTCATGCTTGTATCCCAGCTACTTGGGAGGCAGGGATCAGGAAGATCATGGTTTGAGACCAGATCAGGCAAAAGATTCATAAGACCCTACCTCTGTCATCCCAGCTATGGGGGAAGTATAATAGGAGGATTCGGGTCCAAATCGGCCTGGGCAAAAACACAAGACCCTATCTGGAAAATAACTAAGACAAAAATGGCTGGGGACATGGCTTTGATGGTAGAGCACCTGCCTAGCAAGAATGAGGTCCTGAGTTCAGATCCCAGTACTGCCAAGAAAGAAAAAGAAGGAAGGAAGGAAGGGAGGGAATAAGGAAGGGGAGGGAGGGAAGAAGAGAGGAGGGAGGGGGAAGGAGGGAAGGAAGCGGAAGATAGACAGAAAGACATAAAGAACAACAGGAAGATAGACATAAAGAACAACAGGAAGAAAGAAGAAAGACAAAAAGAATGAAACACAGAAAGAAACAAAAAAGAAAGATAAACAAAGATAGAAAGAAGGAAAGTCAGACAAGCAGAAAGAAAAACCGAATAAAGAAAGACAGATGGCAAGACATAAAGGCCAATAGACAGAAAGACAAACTGAAAGACAGCAAGAAGAAAAAACATAAAAAAGAAAAAGAGAAAGAAAAACAAAAAGACTGAGAAAGAAAAAGGAAAGGTAGAAATAAAGAAAGATGAATGAGAAAGACAGGAAGATAGGAAGAAAGAAAAGAAAGAAAGGTAGAGACAGAAAGACAGTAAGACGAAAAAGAGATAGCTCAAAAGACAAAAACAAATATGGACTTAAAGAAAGAAAAAGACAGGAAGACAGAAAGATAGAATGGAACACAGAAAGACATAAAGACAGAAAGGAAGAAAGACAGACATAAAGAAGGAAAGATGAAAGAAAGAAAGGAAGGAAGGGAGAAAGATACAAAGATAAAGACAGACAAAAGGAAATACAGACAGAAAAACAAAAGACAGAAAGGAAAAAGAGACAGTAGGAAAGAAAGAAGATGGATGGAAGGAAGGAAAGATGAAAACAGAAAGAAAAAGAAGACAGAAAGACAAAGATGACAGAAAGAAAAAGTAAGAAACACAGAGAGGCAGAAAGAAAGATAGGAAGGAAGAAAGACAAAAAGAAATAATGAGAGGCAGAAAGAAAGAGAAAGACTGAAAGAAAGAAATACAGGAAGGAAGGAAGGAAAAAAGATTAGATGCAGCAGGGAGGGTTTTAGGGTTTTGTAGGGAGGAAGGGATCTGACCATTGTACAATGTAAGGTTATTTGGAATGGTCACAATGAATTCCCCCTGTACAATGAATATATTCTAAAAAATGGGAAAGAAAGAAGCAAAGAAGGTCAAAAAGGTAGACAGAAAGACAGAAAGACCTAAGAACAGAAAACAAAGGACAGACTAAAAGACAGAAAAGAAGACAAATAGAAAGAATGATGTAAGAAAGAAAGACAGAGGGCTGGCAGAGTGGCTCAAGCAGTAGAAGCACCTGCCTAGCAAGCATGAGGCCATGAGTTCAAACTGCAGTGCTGCAAACAAAAAAAAGAAAGACAGAAAGAGATACAAGAACTGAAAGAAAAACAGACAGACAGAAAGACAAAAAGAAAGAACTAGACATAAAAAAAAATGTACTCATGTATGAAAACGGAAAAATGAGACCTACTGAAACTATTCCAGGAATGGGGGAGGGGGAATAAAAGAGAATGATGGTGGGGGTGAATTCAACTATGATATATCATAAGAACTTTTGTAAATGTCACAATGTACCCCCAGTACAATAACAAATATGATAAAAAAATTTTAAAAAGAAAGAGAAAAAGAGAAACACAGAAAGGGAGAGAGACAGAAAGACAAAAAAGAGAGACAGAAATAAGGCAGAAAGACAGAAAGAAGGAATGAAAGAGACAGAATGAAAGAAAGAAAATAAAGACTGAAAGACGGCAAAAAGAAACAAAGAATAAAAAATGATGTAAAGAAAGAAAGCAACAGAAAGAAACACAGGAAGGAAGGAAGGGAGGGAGGGAGGGAGGGAGGGAGGCAAAGACAGAAAGAAACAAAGAAAAAGATGGTAATAAAGGAAGGAAGAAAGGAAGACTGAAAAACAGAAAGAAGAAAAGAAATACAGAAAGAAAGACAGTAAGAACAAAGAGAAAGACAGTAAAAAAAGAAAGACAGTAATGAAAGACAATAGTAACAAAAGAGAAAGAGAAGGAAAGAGAGAGAGAAAGGAGGGAGGGAGAGAAGGAGGGAAAAGGAAGGAAGGCAGGTTAAAGCAGAAGGGATAGGTGTGTGACTCAAGTGGTAGAGCTCTTGCCTAACAAGCACAAGTCCCTGAGTTCAAACCCCAGTACTCCTCCTCCCCACGAAAAAGTGTGGCTTTTTTTTTCATTTCCTATGTTTCCATCTTTTACCTTTAACCTCTAATTGCTATTAGTACTAGTCCTGAAGCATCTACAAATTAAATCTTAATGAGGTTTCTTGTTCTTTTTAGATTAAAAACTTCAACCAATTACCAAAAAGACTGAAACTTTCAATTTAATTTTGCTTTGCTTTTCTTGTCGACAAAAAGCAGGCAGGGAGGCAGGATAGAACCTTGCTGATGTGGATTAATGGCCTAGGTTCAAATGTTCTCCTTCGGCCCCTTAGCAATTACATTTCCTCAGATGGGTTACTTAAACTAAGTCAGTTTCCTCATTCATGAAGTAGTGCTTTAATATGTTCATAGACTATGGTAGGATTAAAAGAGTTCATCCTTATAAAGCACTTAGCACAAGCACTTCCCACTGACTAAGTGTTTAATATATATTATCAATACTATTATAATTAACAAGAGAGAGCAATATGAGAGTTTCAAAGAATGCCACTATTAAAAAGAAACAAAATCAGCATGGAAAGCAATCTGTGCTATCTTTCATTCACATATGCTCCCTACATAGTAATCAAAGAGAATGGGACAAAAATACATACTAGTTTTGTTTTTCTCCCAGCCTACTCAACATAAAGATGTTTAATCACAATATGCACAACACTTACGGTTTTTGTGGCCTAGAGTCATAATTCTATCCATATCATCAGCATTATTCACCACATAAGCTGATAAATCTTTGATATAAACTCCCACATCAGGCCTTTCTTTAACCTAAAAAAAAAAAAAGAAAAGAAAAACCACACACCCACATAAGACTTTCCATTTATATCAATAATTCAATTATTTAGTGAGCATCTACTCTATAAGATAGAGGAGGTAATATCCTATAGGGAGAACATATGAATGAAATTATTACAAAATCATTTTATCTTCATTGTGATGAATTAAAAAAAAATAGGACGTGCAGGAATATATTACAGAGACACTAAGCTAGTGAAGGGGGCAGGATAAATTTCCCCAAGATGATGTGTGCTAAAACTTGAAGAAGAAATAGGAGATAGTCTGGTTTGGGGAAGGAAGAGGAGAACATGTACAAGGATCCTGAAATGGGGAAAAAAACCTAGGCACGGTAACTAGAGAAGACAAGCAAGATGTTTGGTTATAGAGGTAGACAGGCAGGACTGAGAATAGTTACCAGTCCTTTTGCTAGCAATTTGGAGCCAACAGAGAATGTCAAGCAGCTGAAAAAAATTATCAGAGCTATGGTACTCATGTAAAAATATCTTCTTTCTATGAGTTACATTATGACAGCTTTTGCCAAATTTGAAGGATGTATTTAGGACAGAATTACCTAAAATACAGATACTGATATAAAGAAATTTCACTTTGGGGAGGGGAGGGGTGCTATGTTCACTTCCATAAGCCAAGAGAACAAAGTGAAACTGAGGCAGAAGCCTGTGGCTGCCAGAGGGGGAAATCATTCCACAGGTAGTAATACCTTGCAGACAAAGAGGGCAACAAAAATTTGAAAAACAATTCCAGGGACAAAAGTTTCAAAGGTAGACACTCCAAATTCCAGGTTTTGATTTTTTATCTAGTTAGAGGTTTTGTGTCTCTTTTACAATTTATAAGATTTATAAATTGGCAAAAACTATCCATTATCTGTCATGGGCTATAAATTAAGTACCAATTTTACAGTAGTAAATGCAATGTGTTGGCCTTATAAATCAGTAGGTTTCAACCTGTGCTCTGAAAAGTACTAGAGAAAAGGTCCACAGCAGTACTAAGTTGGCCACTGTAGGGGTTTGGGGGTCTTCAGGGTCAGAGAAGTTCTAAAGATAGCCTCATGTATTTTACACATTGAGCTTTTACATAAGGTTTGGTTTGATAGAAGTGTTTTAAGCTTTTCAAAGGCTTGAAAATTATTAGTTTATATCAATGCTTCTTTTAAAAAAATCTGTAGCAGAGGACAATGTGTATGTTTCTGATCTGGCAAACTGAAATTTTATAAAATACAAAAATCATGCACTTGGATAGCATGCTAATATCAAATTGCTATGAAAGATTTTCTTTTGTTTTGGGTGGGACTGGGCTTTGAACACAGAGCCTTGTGCACTTGATCCACACCTCCAGTCCATTTTCCTCTGGTTATTTTGGATATGAGGTTTCGAGAACTATTTGCCCAGGCTGACCTCAAACTGTGATCCTCCCCCCAATCTCAGCCTCCCAAGTAGCTAGCATGAGCCACCAGCACAAGACTGCTATGAAAGTTTTTAAGTACCTACTCTCACTTCCTGTGTTCATCTTACTGTCAACTGAAAACACATCCTTCAAATTGACATCTGTTTTTATGAAGTCTGAGGACTTTTCTAATCACAATATGGTATTAATTCAAAATTCAATAGGACTAGGTAATTTAGTAGATATGAAAGATAAGGAAATAAAATATGATTTCAAATTTGTGAAAGTTAAACTGTGGTAATGCTATGAAAGATATTTTATCACAGGTTGGGGATAAAGCTCAGTGGTAGAGACATGCCTAGCATATGCAAAGCATTTAATCTGCATAAAAAATACAGCTCATAACACCAAAACATTGTATCTCAATGATGGGGGGACAGTTACTGCCCCTGCCCCAGAATGTTTCAGAAATCTGTAGGGGGAATTTCTGATTCTCTTGAAACACAATTTGTGTTTTAGGCAGGGACCAGGAATATTAAACACCCTGAAAAGAGTGGGAGGGTCTTACTGAAAGAAGAATTGTTCTAACAATTTTGAGTGTTCTACCAGATATTCACATGGGTAAAAAAAATTATTCATAATTACCCGAGTGAGAGATCTGGATGCAATTATCTGTGTCTATCTATACATAACTTTGTTTCTCACATAAAGACAGAGTGTTTTTCCATGGTAATAGTAATAACAATAGTAGAAGAATGTGGGAAAACTGAGGACAGAATCTCACTTAATTTTGGCCAGAATTCTACCAAGAGCTAGTTACCATGGAGGCAGTGCCAATAACACTAGTCAGGGTGTTCAGACCATAATACAACATACCTATATCACCCTGCATTTGTAGTTACTGTAGTCATGGCAATTCTACGTGCTCATAAGTGTGGTCCCATTTAAGCATTTATATATTGCATTTCATTTTTAAATTACTGTTACTCTCCTTTATATTACAGTAGGAAAGTACACCAACTCTTTAAAAATTACATGTGCAGGTAAATTTTATCTATGAATTTCATTTCAGGATAATCAAAGGACCTTACAAAATACATTATGAAAAGGGAACATCAGACATAAAGAAAAATGAAATTATGTCATTTGTAGGAAAATGGATGGAAATGAAGATCAACATGTTAAGCAAAATAGCACAGTTTTCTCTTACATGTGAAACTTAGAAAAAAAAACTTAGAAAAAAAAAGTTATGAATGTAAAAGGGGACTTTTAGAGATGTGAAAGAGGATAAGAGGGAAGGGAAGAGACATAAGAAATGACAAGAGGGGAGTAAATGCGATCAAAATACATTATATGCATGTGTGAAAATGTCCCGATGAAACCCATTACTTTGTACAATTAATATATGTTAATTAAAAGGGGGAGCAACCAGGGGCCAGTGGCTAAGGCCGTAACCCTAGTTACTTGGGAGGCTGAGATCAGGAAGACTGCAGTTCAAGGCCAACCCAGTCAAAATGTTAGCAAGACCCCATCTCAACCAATAGCTGAGTGTGTGGTGTATATGCCTGTCATTCCAGCTATGGAGAGAATAAACAGGAAAATTGTAGTCCAGGCCAGCGTAGACAAAAAGTGAAACCCAATCTCAAAACTAACCAGAGCAAAAAATGCTGGAGGCATGACTCAAGTGGTAAAGCACCTGCCTAGTAAGTGTGAAGCCCCATGTTCAAGCCCCAGTACCACAAAAAACATAAGGGGAGAGACATTGGGTCTAACAGGGTTGAGAACCATTGACATAAATGCTCCTGAAAATAAATCTAATCTATAATTACTACTACAAAAAAATAAAAAACAGAAATGTTCCTTCTAAGTGATTTTCCCCAAAACTAAAGATGACAACTAGCAACAAAAAATTGTTTCTACATTTGCTGTGTACTGTATTTTACAGAATAAGCCTTCATTATTCAACAAATACAAATGATTCCTAATGCTCTAATATACTGCTACAAAAACTCATGTATTGGCAAGTTTATTATTTATTAGGCACTGATTTAAACACTTCATTTTAATTTGTTAATATTGGCAATAATCCTATAAAGTACATACTATTAGCAATTCCAATATTAATGTTTAAAAGGCTAATCTTTACTAAAAATTTGTCAAGCACTGTTGGCTCTTGTCTGTAATCCTAGCTACTTGAGAGGTTGAGATCAGATCATGATTTGAGGCCAGCCAGGGAAGAGTTTTCAAGACCCCCTCTCAACCAATAGCTGGGTGTGGTAATGTGTGCCTATCATCCCAGCTACAGTGGGAAGCATAAAACAGAAAGATCATAGTCCAGGTGGACCTAGGCAAAAAGACCTTATCTCCAAAATAACCAGAGCAAAAAGGGCTGGAGCATGGCTCAAGTCATAAAGCTCCCGCTTTGCAAGCAGAAGCTCTAAGTTCAAACCCCAGTACTATAGGGGAAAAAAAAAAAAAAGCTAAAAATTTGGCACTATCCAAAAAATGACGTGTTTTAGGTTATTTAAAATATTAAAAGTACCTTTTGTATAAAAAGGGTATTAGTTTAACAAGCATTCTATTGCTTTGGGAAGGATGCCCATTTCAGTTATCCTTACCTCTAACCTCTGTGTCTGGTCCTTGCCCAAAAGGTCACGAACTTCTTCATTATAGATTTCCAAATATGATACTCGAACCAAAAATCTATAAATAAAATATTTTACTAAATAAAAGTTAGTGAAACATGTATAAGAACAGTTTTTAAATGTGTTCATAAAATTTTTATCTGTATAGTTTTCCTATGTTTGTACTTCGTGATATTAGAGAATAAAAGAATTCTCTTTTACCTTGTATCACCCTCTGCTTTTGCAATATGACCAAATATGTGAGCAAATGAATTAGGAATAATTCCTCTAAGTTCAGGAACGGCTCGAACGCCTTCCATAGTAAAAGTTTTGCCTGTTCCAGTTTGTCCATATGCAAAAATAGTCCCTGAAAATGATGAAAAGAATCAGTCACTTTTGGAATCTACTGGTACAGAACAATACCTCTTTAAAAAATTCCTTTGACACTATGATTTAATTTCTTCCCTGAATTCAAATTTATTCTAGTATAAATTTTACCATTATTATCAACATGTACAATATACACTCTGTGCCATATAAACAAAGCACTGTTAAAGCATCAGAGTCAGCAAGACACTCCTAATTATTAATAAACAGTATCCCAAGGCTTAAATGCAAAAAATCTTACATTATAATTATGATGAATTTCTTGTGAGTTATATACTATTGCTTATGGACATTAAATTGGAGAAGGTAGTAGAATTACACACAAAGAATACAGGTTCTAGAGCAGAAAGACCCCTATCTGAAGTCATATCTGCCAATTTTTGGCCACTTGACCTTGGATAAGTTGCCTACCCAGAGACTGTCTCCTTCAATAGTAAAAGAGGGATAAGAATAATTTCTCTACATTAATAGTAAGAACAAAATGAAACAATTCCTGACTGGTAGAGATTACCAGTAAATGGCAGCTTTTTTCTTTTTAAAGTAAGTTGATTATTTGACTAATATTTTTAACATAATAGTGGTAAGAAATAGGGAGTAACAACATAATAGGGATAAACAGGGAGGTGACAACATAATTATTATAGGTAATTATAGATATAATTTAAATTTTCCCAACACCTTAAATTCATTCATTCAACAAATATTTGCCACACATATGAGTGTGACACAGTGCTAGCCACCTGAAGCAGAGTAACAAATAACACAGATACAATCCTTAACCACAGGGTGTGTATAATCTTGGGGAGGAGACACTGGTGGAGCAATTCTAAGCATGCTGAGTATCAAGAATAAGGAACAACTCTAGATGAAAGTAAGGACTTAAACCAGGCAGGGGAATGGCCAGGAGAGGCTCTGCAGAAGAGGTGAAGTTTAAGATGGAACCTGAGGGCTGGTGGAGTGGCTCAAGTGGTAGAGCGAATGTGTAGCAAGTAGAGCTCCTGTGTTCAAACCCTAGTACTACCACACACACAAAAAAGAAATCTGAACTACAAATAAGAATCAAAAAGAACAGGGGGCAACAGGCAAGAAAGAGAATAGAGATTTTGAGGAACTGAAAAGAGATCAGACTAGAAAAAAACATGGAAAAGACACAGTGAGAGCTCAAGACTGGCAGGGCCCTAATCACGAAAACCATAATCAAGTTATGGTTTAACCATAATCAATAATATAAGAAGTACAATATAAGACAATATGAGAAAACAGCCCCGGATGTGATAGCATAAAAGAAAAAGCCTCTGGACAGTACTCTATTCAACTAACCTCAAATGCATCATCATTTTTGGAGTTTTTGTGAAAATAATCTTGCTAGTCAGTTAAGAAAACTCAGGAGAAGAGGACCGTCCTACAGACCTACTTCTGGCAGAACAGGAATGAAGTCCTGAATAACCTCTTGGCCTTCACAGGGCACATACAGTCAGAAATCCACAAAAACTAGTGCATACATGGATAAGAAAAGAGAAAAGTGCTGTTCTGTGGGTTGGAATGGTAAGATGCCCTCATGAAATATGGAATATTAGCAAAGCTCCAGTTCTGTTCTTCTGAAAATCACTAAATTATTTCTGAATACTATAGTAGGTCTCTTCACTTTTTTGCAGAGTAGTAAATCTAGCTTTTTTGTACAAACTTAGTACTTGTCCAAAGGTTTCATCTTTTAACCTCAAGTTTCTTAGAGATTTGACGACTTTGTTGTCTGTTTTCCTATGCCTTTTTGCTCAAGCAACATGTATAAATGTTGACTTTTTTCTTAGATTTCATGAGAACAACAAAAACAAAAAAGAATTCTTTCAAGAAAGAAAAAGATTAAATACTTTTTTCCTTACACTTTCTTAAAGGTCAGGGGGCTTTGTGAAAAAAGTAGTAAATAGTTATTTATAACTAGTATACTTGTTGCTATTAGTTTATCTTAATCAAAATTACTAGATGATAGGGCTCAGGAACTTATTAACATGTATTTTGGTATACTAATAATCATTTAAAAATAAAGACTGTCATGTATTCTTGAAAGGAAAAAAAACTAGAAATGGCCTGAGATTTTACTCAGTTTCCACATTTCCTGGTCATATAATTTAAAATGGTGCCAGATCTGCATGTGAATGTTCACAGCAGCTTCATTCATAACTGACAAAACTTGGAAGAAGCCAAGGTACCCCTCAGCAGGTAAATGGATAAATAAACTGTGTTACATGCAGACAATGAAATACTTATAAAGAGATAAGCTTTCAGCCAGGTCTGATGGCTCATGCCTATAATCCTACCTACCTGGGAGGCTGAGAACAGAAGAATGGCAGTTTAAGGCCAGCCCAGACAAAAAAGTTCATGAGACCCTCATCTCAATGGGAAAAAAAAAAAGCTGGGTATGATGGTGTGTGCCTGTCATCCCAGCTATAGTGGGAAGCATAAAATAAGAAGATTGCAATCAGGCAGGCCTGGCAAAAAACTTTCAGTACCACTAAAGGAAGAGAGGGAGAGGAAAGAGCAGAAAGGGAAAGTGAGGGAGTGGAGAAGGGAAGAGCACAAGCATGAGCCTATCTAGCCATGAAAAGACACAAAGGAAACTTAAATGCAAATTACTAAGTTAAAGAAGGCAATATGAAATGCCTACACGCTGTATGATTTCAACTATATATCAATCGGAAAAGGGCAAAATTATAGATACCATAAAAGATCAGTGGTTGCCAGGGTTAGGATGGAGAATGGGTTGAATAGGCAGAGCACAGAGGATTTTGAGAGCAGAAAAACTATCCTACATGATAGTACAATGGTAGAGAGATTATTATACTTTTTATTCAAACCCACAGAATGCACAACATTAAGAGTGAACTCTAATGTGAACTATGGAGTTTGAGTGATAATGGTATGTCAATGTGAGCTCATCAACTATAACACATGTGCCACTCTGGTCGGGGGTGGTTACCAAAATGGGGGAGGTTGTACATGTATAGGGACAGGAGTTATGCAGGAATTCTCTATACTTTCTGCTGTGAATTTTGCTGTAAACATAAAACTGCTCTAAAAAAAAAAAACTACTAATTAAAAAGAGTTTTGACATAGGGGTTTCACTATTGTTTCCCAGGCTGGTCTCCAACTCCTTGGCTTAAGCGATCATCCTGCCTTGGGCTTCCCAAGTAGCTGGGATTACAGTTGTGCATGCAGTTGGCTAAAGTTATTTGTAAATGGTGGAAGGATTATGTATTTGCCATTGAAAACCCAAGAAATTATAGCTAAGCCAGATTTTGATAAGAGAGAGTAACCTGCATCATATATTATAGCATTAGTAATTGCTATCCTTTTTTAGTTTTTCTATTACTACTGACAATTTTCATCAGCATAAGACACTGAAAAATAGGTTCAAAGTCTTGATATTCAAATGCTATTCTTTATAGCATTTATTTTTACAAATACATAATTCTGAGCCAGGTGTGGTGGTGCATACCTATAATCCCAGCTACTTGGGAGACAGAGACAGGAGAATCTCAAGTTTAAGACCCTACTGCAAAAACAAATTGGAAAAAATCAAAAGGACGGACTGGAGATGTGGCTCAAGTGGTAGAGTGCCTGCTTTACAAGTGCAAAGCCATGAGTTCAAACACCAACCCCACCAAAAAAAAAAAGTAAAAAGGGCTGAGTGTGTGACTCAAGTGGTAGAGCACCTGGCAACATTTGCTTTAAAAAAAAAATCATTCTGCTAACTCAAAATTAAACTAGTAACACTTCTGCTTCTAACCAAAATGGAATAATAGGACTAAATTAGCCTTCCTGGGCTGTGACTAGCAGTAAGCAAAAATACATGAAACACCAGTTTTTAAGACAATGAATAAGAAATTCAAACCATGAAATGAGAGCGGGAGCCCAAGTAGAGGCCAGCAAACTCCCTGGGCTAAGGAAAAGTTGTTAAGTGAGCTCCGAAGTAGCTACAATTTGTAGAACACAGTACCACGGAGGAGAAAGCTGGACAGAGAGAGCTATGGACATCTGCAGAGGGTCCTCCCCAAGCATTCAACTGAGTATTAATCAGATATGAGAATGAGGAAGTAATCTAAATATGGGGGAGGGGACCATCTGGAAGATTGGAAGGAAGAATGCTCTGCATTCACACAGGCCAGGAACAATATCCGTTTCCTCCAGAAGCACTGGAAATCTCATGATTCACAAGGCATTAAGTACAGTATACGAAGCCATCTTGTCTCAGTAGTGAAGAACAATTAACCCTAAACTGAGCACTGCTCAGGTCTTTACTAACAAATCTTAAAAGGCAGACTTGAAAGGATCAAACTGTTTTGCAAGTAACTGCATTCCACAACAAAGCTCATAAATGTTTATAGAACAAAAAAATAGGACTGTGGGCCTGGCTGAAGTGGTAGAGTGCCTTCTTAGCAAGCACAAGGCCTTGAGTTCAAACCCCAGTACCATCAAAAAGGAAAAATAAAAAAAAAATAAAATAAAGCTCTACTAGAATAAAGAAATATCCAAGATGCAAGGTAAAATTCACAATGTCTAGCATCCAACCAGAAATTACCAACTTTGCAAAAAAGGCAAAATGATACAACCTATAATGAAAAAAAATCAATCAATGCGAGTCAACTCCCTGTATAGCTATCCTTATCTCAACTAGCAAAAACCTTTGGTCCTTCCTATTATGGCTTATACTCTCTCTTCAACAAAATTAGAGATTAGGGCAAAAAAGTTTCTGCCAGGTAGCGAGGGGATGGGGGGGAAAGGTAGGGGGTGGGGAGGTTAGAGAGGGGGTGGGGGAAGGGGGGAGAAATGACCCAAATATTGTATGCACATATGAATAAAAAAAACTCAGAACTGACTCAACTATTAGAACTAGTAGTCAATACATTAAAGCAGTTCTAAAAACTGTATTCCATATATTAAAAAGTTAACAGTAGAGCACCTCCCTAGCAAACCCAAGTACCA